GGCGGGGGGGGAAGAGGGGCAGTGCGGTAGGGGAAGAGACGGTGAAAGGGAACCGACTCGTCAAACGTGACGTCCTGAGAGGGGAGGACACGGCGTGAGGTGGGGTGGTAAAACTGCCAGCCAGGCACGTCAGGGGGAAAGCCAAGAAAGACGCAGGGAATAGCGCGGGAGGAGAGCTTGTCCGCGGAAGTATCGCGGACAAAGGCACGAGAGCCCCAGACCCGGAACATCGACGCATCGCCAACCTTCCCCGTCCAATGCAGTGTAGGCGAGGTCTCCGGCAAGGAGACATGGGGCCAGAGGTTGAGCTGATGCGCAGCGTACCGGACTGCAAACGGCCACAAAAAATGGGGAGCAGCCGCATGGATCATGGAGGTACGAGCCACCTCCATGACTAAGCCAATGCGGCGCTCAGCAGCCCTATTTTGCTGCAGGGAGGCCGAAAGCGTGAACGACCAGAGAATGCCCTCCCCACGAAAAAAGTCCCACAAGAGGTCGGAGGAGAACTCACCACCTCTGTCAGAGTGCAGATGCAGGACAGGAAGGTCCTCGCGGAACCGCTCGCGGAGCTGGAGACGGACTGCGCGGATCCAAGGGATCAAGACATCAGGGACCTCACCCTTGCTGCTCAAGGGAAAGACCGTGGTGTAACGCGTGTAGTCGTCAACAACCAGCAGAAAGTAGCACTCGCGGTCCTGTCTACTGACGCGGGCTAGGCCCCACACGTCCATGTGGAGAGTCTGTAGGGGAGCAGTCGTCGGGGGAAACGAGGAGTGAGGAGTGGCGCGCTGCCGCCCCTCGACGCAAGGAAGGCAGGGCGGGGCAGGCGAGGGCGGGAGGGGAGGCAGAGACCTGGGAAGACCAGAAACAAGGAGGCGGAAGTGCATGCCACGAAGGCGTGGCAGGGAGGGGTGACCAAGTCAGTGGTGCCACAGGAGAGTCTCGTGCGACAAGAGGCGACACGAGCAGGGGGCTGCTACCGGACCTGACGCGGACACCTGAGCAGATGCAGCTACCTGAGGAGGCTCGGTAGCCAGCGTGTACAGACTCGACCCGGGCCGACGGGTGAAAGTGGCCAGGTGACGGCCCATCCGTGTATACGTGCAGATCGATGCATCGGACTCCGAGGAGTGGTGGTAGTGACCATCGCATCCTGGAAGGCAGCGGTACTCACCAAGTTCGTAGAGAACGAGGGGAGGTGAAGACCTAACAGTGAGCCGGACGGAACCGCCAGACACAGGAGAACAGTGGAGGAACGGGCAAGAAGTGGGCCCCCTGAGGGGTCAGCAAGTCTGACCGGAACAGGGGCAGGGAGTGGAGTGAGATTGGTACTGTCGCGAAAGAAACAGCGGGAAGCACCTTAGTCAAGCGTAAAGGTGTGCAAGGCCTCAGCAGGCGCAGTATCAGGGAGAGCACACCCACTAGAACCTAGAGATACAGCCTCTATACCTGGGTCTGGCGGCACACACAGGTAACAGTCACCCTCAGCACTAACAGACAAGGTATACATGGCAGCAAGGATAACATCATCATCAAGAGCAAAGATATCAACTCCAGACCCAAGTAGCTCTGACTAGCGAGGGCGCTCAGCCTCGTCACCAAACTCTGCGCGCCAAGCGTCGTCAAGGCGGGAGAAGCAGCGGTGCTGAGAGTGAAACTTCCCGCATGCCTGACCAGCGCGGTCACCCGTGCGAATGACATACGCGCAGCGAACACTACCCCCAGACGCCCGACGCTGAGCAAACCACTCACGAAGCTGCTGGGGCGTAGGGGTCTCGCTCCGACACTGCTGCTGCTGCCTCTGGCCACCGCCAGAACCTCCCCTCTGAACAGCTCCACCCCGACCTCCACCACTGTTGCCGCCACCACTCCCACTGCCGCCACCACCGCCACCCCCACCCCCACCGCTGCCACCACCGCCGCCACCAAAGCCCCCACTCCCGCCACCACTCCCACCGCTGCCACCACCTCCGCCACCTCCACCGCCTCCACTTCCTCCACTACCACCACCCCCGCTGCAGCGCTTTCCACTAAATGCAGAAGCAGCCCCAACATCCTCAGCACCAAGGATGTCAACAGCAACAACAGAACCATAGGAGGGGGCAAGGGGGGAGGAGGAACACCCCTCAAAGAAGGGTGTGCGAGGAGTGCCACGAGCAGCACCTACAGCGACTACACTAGTCTCAGCTACAATGAGGTGTTTCTCGAGCAGGTCGACAGTGAGGTCTGTGGGGTCAAGTGCGAGAAAGTGGTCCCTGACAGCACGAAGAGAGTCAGGGAGGCGGGTGACTATGAAGTAGAGAGTGATGTACATCGGGCGCGGGTTCCTGTCTAGGAACTAGGCTGGGAGGGCAGCGTGGTAGCGAGCGTCGCTAGTGCGGAGGTGGGTAACGAGGTCTTCGACTGTGGCAAAGGCTGACAGCTCGGGAAACAGGTAGGGCAGTATAAGGCGGCCGAGAGCAGCAGTGGCAGGGGAAGAGTAACGAGCGACTACATCGTCGTACAGGGCTTTGGCAGTCTTGTGCTGGCCAAAGTGAGCGCGTTCGGCTAACGGCAGGTGGTTGCGAACGGCTAAGCGAGCAGCAGCGTCACGCGTAAGCCACTGTGAGCGAGTCGCACTGTCAGCTGTGGCGGGAGGGGCGAGAGAGGCTCCAGATGTGTGGTCAAACAACGAAACGATGTCTCTAGAATCGCTCAGTAGGTACAGCTGTAAGTCGTCGAGCCACGTATCGAACTGGATCGGACGGCCCTCATGATCGAAGGTGAGTACACTGAGAGAAGCCATAGCGGGAAGAGCAGGGTGGCGCACGACCAGCAGGGCGGCACGCAGGTAGGGCGGCGCGCGAGCACTAGAGCACTAGAGGAGCGCGCAGGGGAGGGCAGGGCGGTGCGACTGCCAACAAGGCGGCGCGCGGGCAGCAGGGCGGCGCGCGGGCAGTAGGGCGTCGACCAGCAGGGCGGCGCACAGCAGGGCGGGCAGCAGCAGGGCGGCGCGGGCAGGAGGGCGCCGACCAGCAGGGTTGCGCGCAGCAGGGCGGGCAGCAGCAGGGCGGTGCGGGCAGGAGGGTGCCGGCCAGCAGGGCGGGCAGCAGCCGGGCGGCGCAAGCAGCAGGGTGGCGCGCAGCCGGGCTGTGCGGGCAGCGGGGCACCGGCCAGCAGGGCTGCGCGCAGCAGGGCGGGCAGCAGCAGGGCGGTGCGCGGGTGCAAGGGGCGGCGCGCGGGGTGCAAAGGGCGGCGCGGCGGGCTGCAAAAGGGCGGCGCGCGGGCTGCAAAGGGCGGCGCGGCGGCCAGCAGAGCTGCGCGCGGGCAAGGCAGGGCGGGCAGCAGCAGGGCGGCGCGCGGGTTGCGAAGGGCGGCGCGCGGGCTGCAAATGGTGGCGTGCGGGCTGCAAAGGGCGGCGCGGCGGCCAGCAGGGCGGCACGTCAGGCAGGGCAGGGCGGGTCAGGGCAGCGCGACTAGTGGGGCAGCGCTATTCGGTGGGCCCTAAAGAAAACGGTCCTGGAACAGGACCTGCTCTGATACCATGTCATAATACTGAACGAGAATGAATGAACTATGAATGAGTTGGGTACAAGTACTAAGCCTAATTGGGTTGTACCCATTATAGGCTACCCCACTACAGCCTAAACAATGTAAGCGTTATAACATTTTGACAGCATGAGGTGGGGCGCCTTGCATGCAGCTGAAAGGCCCCTTTCAAGGAGCGGGAGGGGGCGTTCGACACGTCACCAGGGTCGAGGGCGAGAGCGGTGGAGCGCGGCGCGGATGGGTGTCGCCTCCGTCCGCTCGCGAAAAATCGCAGACGGGTTCCGTTGGCGAGGCGACGCCCGGTGAGTGTTCGGTGGGTTACTGGACGGAACCCGTCATCGAACCGAGGGTGGGGTTGGGTTCGGTTGGGGGGGACCACTGCCAGCTCGAGGGCGTGGGTCGCTCGCGTCATCGGCAGCTGGCGCCAGCTGGGGGTCCCCGTTTTTGGGCGGGAGGGGGGGTTGGCTCCCACCCCTCGCATGCGCCGCTAGGCGACTGCGAGAAAAACGAAATCCCTTCAGGGAAAACCCGCAGGGGCAAAAGCGGGTTTCCGGAGGGATCTCGCTGATATCTTCCCCGCGAAACGTGTCTACGATTGGCTGCTTGCAGGAAGATGTTCAAATACACAGCACAGCATTGAAATATGATACTCAAGGGAAACACGCCGAGCAGCATATCAATTTCCTTGGTGTTAACTCTATATACTCATCTATATATCAGCACCCCCATAAGAGTTAAGCATACCTACCTCAACCTATTGGACGAAACTCATACCGAGGGCCATGGCAATAAAAGCCCCAATAGAGATATTGATCACATTCACAATGTCATTTGTCATCTGCACACCAAGTCACAAACAAGCAATCACACGAATTAACTTGGACCATTTAAGTGATGAGAAATACGCTTGAGAACCTGCTAAATCGATTGCTCAAAACCATACGCACATCAACAAGACCATGCCTGCACTTACCCATTCGTAACCGGGTTTGTCTTGGAGTGTAGCCCCAATGTAACTCTCTCCGAAATTGGCAATTTGCGATGCCAGCACGCAGAAGAAGGCTCCAACAAGGCTCACCTGCAAGACATGCAAGAGGGTGAATGGGGCACAAGAATGCAAGATGCAGTGTGGAATGAGGCATACAGAAGAGGGCTCCACCAGGGGTCACCATTAAGACTTACGAAGAGACAGGGGGCGTGGAGGGAAGGGAGGAGAAGAGGGTGGAGCAGAACAATGGGTGGGAGCATCAATCTCGCACAGCAACAATGTGAGTTAATTTGGATACATAGTCTGCCTCATACATATGAATGCCCCTGTCTGCGTGCACCTATGGAGCAAGCGTGAGAAATCCACTTTTTGAGACTCAGTGGGCTCGCGAACAGAGCAGCAGCGGACAGCATCACAGCAGTTGAATCTAGAAATGTCCCAACCATCGTAAGACACAGCATTGAAACAAAATCTCAAAGGCGTCTTAAACCACAATCTTGAAATTCACCTGATCGGTGAGCAGAGCAGCAGCGGACAGCACCACAGCAGCTGCCAGGCCTGCCAACGTTCCCTCAAGACTCACTGCGCCCTCTGTACCCCTGGGAACAGGCTGGAAGGAAGTCACCAGGAACCTGCAAGGACAGGGCCAGCCAGGGACACAAGAGACTGATATAACTGCATGTAGCTACCCATGTGTGCAATGTGCACGATAATCATCGCACTGTGCACACTTAACTAACACAATTCTATTGACATGATTCGGTAGTAATTATCACAGTTCCACTTGTTACACTCACGTTCGCATGCCGAACGCACTCCCAGCAGTGTCCGACAGTTTGGTGAAAAGGCAAACAACATACCCCAGCCGCCACACCGGCACACTAGGCAGCACCACCCCTAGTTCTACAGACATGACTTAGCTTCTCGGTATTGTTAGTCACAGCTCCTCTCATTACACACTCACGTGCGCTTGCCGAACGCCTTGCCAATCTCGCTCCCAGCAGTGTCAGACAGCTTGGTAGCAAAGCTGGCGACATACCCCAGCTGCCACACCGCCACACTAGGCAGCACCACCCCCTCCATCCCCCCTCCACCTCCCCCGCCTGCAGCAGCAACGGCTCCCAGGCAGCACACCACCGCAGCAGCAGCTGATCCCACCACGCTCCATGGCCCCCTCCTCCCACTCCGCTTCTCCGCTATTCCCTCCTGCTGCTTCTGCTTCAGCTTCACCTTCGTTACCAGTGTCCCCTGGGAGCAGGAAAATATGGATTCGAATAAAGGAGAGGCAGTGGGAAGAAACAGGGGTTCGAGGAAAGGAGAGGCGGCGAGAAGAGGTGTTTCGTCCCTCCTGCTGCTTCTGCTGCTGCTTCTCCTTGGTCACTGTGCCATTGAGAATGAAAGGACATGAATAGGTTTTTACAGAAAGCGAAGTTCAGGAGCTTAACCTCCACACAGTCACACTATCTGAAGTATTACTCACGAGAATGAAATACAGCCAGAGGATGAGGTAGCCTGGCCAGTAGAACGCCCTCCATACAGTCACACCCAGGAGAAACGCGGACAGCACCCCTGGCACGGTCAGCCCGGAGAGCAGTCCGGGCAGCAAGACGGCGAAAGTTGTGGACGTGAAAAGGACAGCGGATTGCCACGTGGCAGGCTGGAGGAGAAAGGCATCGACGGTTGGCTGCACAAGGGTAGCGACAGAAGCGGGGAGTGCTGTAAAGCGGTCCATTTGAGATTTAGAACGGTTGGGTATAATAATATGCGAAACGTAGTTTCGGGACCCACCCCATGCAAACGATCATGCGAGTGACACTTCAGAGTGTGCGACTACCGCTGAGTGTCAGCATAAATCACCCATTTTTACTCTCGACTGTTTCAACCAGCCGTCTCCTCCAATAGCCGTTACCAGATCATCTCGACTCGATATGGCATCTGGCCCAAGGCGGTTCAAGGAAAGTCCTCACAGGTGTGCACTGTGGGGCAGCCGGCCAACGTCAGTTTCCTCCCAAGCGTTCAGGAGCAACGAAGCGACGGCAACTGACCTCCAATAGGTGTTCAACTTCCAAATGTTCCGGCCAGACGCTGGATTCGGGGTCTTACAGCGTGGATGCTCGCGAACTCGGTTAGCGATTGGCTGTGTTTGCACGAAGATCCGACCGCTGCTCAGTTACAAGCTATGAAAAGAGAATAATTGAAATAGGAAACTCATACATAACGAGAAGCAAGCAGCATACCCATTTCTTGGTGTCTATTCTACTATGGAGACATATCTAGAAGAAGGCACCTCCTTGAGTGCATACATCAATCTATGGTGCGAAAATGGTGCCAAGGGCCATGGCTATCAAAGCCCCAGTACAAATATTGATCACATTCACAATGTCATTTGTCATCTGCACAAGAAGCCACAACACAAACAAGCAAGCACACAAATTAGCTTCGATGCACCGTTCAAGTACTGAGAATCACACTTGAGAACCTGAGCTGAAAAGAATGTTCAGAACCATACACATATCAACAATAATGTGTCTGCTGCACTTACCCATTCGTAACCCGGTTTGTCTTGGAGTGTAGCCCCCACATAACTCTCTCCGAAATTGGCAATTTGTGACGCTAGTATGCAGAAGAGGGCTCCAAGCAGGCTCACCTGCAGGACATGCAATGGGGATGAATGGTGCATAAAAATGTAAGGTGCAGTGTGCAATGAGATACGCTGCCACAATATCTCTGCTTACACGCCACAAATTGTGATGCCAGTTTGCAAAAAAAGGGCTCCAACAGAGGTCACCTTCAAAACATGCAAGGGGACGGCAGGAAGGGGGGGAGAGGGAGAGGGAGGAGAGGGGATTGGAGGAGCTCACTCAACAAAGGGCAGAATCAAACTTGTACGACAACATTGTGAGTTCATTTGGATACATCATCTGCAACATACATATGATGCTCCTGAGCGCGTGCATGTTTGCACATCAAACAGAACCTCAAGCATCGCCCTAACCACAATCTCGAGATTCACCTGATTGGTGAGCAGAGCAGCAGCAGACAGCACAACAGCAGCTGCCAGTCCTGCCAACGTTCCCTCAAGACTCACTGCGCCCTCTGTGCCCCTGGGAACTGGCTGGAAGGAAGTCACTAGGAAACTGCAAGGACAGGGCCAGCCAGGGACATAAGAGGTTGACACTGAGAGCAAATAACTTTCATATACGCCTTGTGCACAATAAAAACGACACTGTATTTTTGGGGACACTATTTGGGGCATACCCACAGACCTCAGCACCACAGTACTTACCGCCTGTTGCGCACGATACGCCAATTCCAGAAACATGAAATAGCTTCTCGATATCGTTCACCAATTCATGTCCTTAAACTCACGTCCGCTTGCCGAACGCCTTGCCAATCTCGCTGCCAGCAGTGTCCGACAGCTTCGTAGCAAAGCTGGCCACATATCCCAACTGCCACACCGCCACACTAGGCAGCACCACCCCCTCCATCCCCCCTCCAGCTCCCCCGCCTGCAGCAGCAACGGCTCCCAGGCAGCACACCACCGCAGCAGCAGCTGATCCCACCACGCTCCATGGCCCCCTCCTCCCACTCCGCTTCTCCGCTATTCCCTCCTGCTGCTTCTGCTTCAGCTTCACCTTCGTTACCAGTGTTCCCTGGAAGCAGAGAAACAAGGGTTTGAGACAAGGAGCGGCAGTGAGAAGAGGCGTTTTGCTCCTTCAAGACCATCCTGCTGCTTCTGCTGCAGCGTTACCCTGGTCGCTGTGCCCTTCAGAATGAAAAGAATTGAATGGATCTGTAAAGAAAAAAGAACAGGCAGCACCATACCCTCCATACAGTCACAATTTCTGAAGTAATACTCACGAGAATGAAGTACAGGCAGACGATGAGGAAGCCCGGCCAGTAGAACGCCCTCCATACAGTCACACCCAGGAGAAACGCGGACAGCACCCCTGGCACGGTCAGCCCGGCGAGCAGTCCGGGCAGCCCGACTGCGAAAATTGTGGACGTGACAAGGAGAGCGGATTGCCACGTGGCAGGCCGGAGGAGGAAGGCATCGACAAATGGCTGCACAGCGGTGGCGACAGAATCGGTGATTGCTGTAGCGCGTACGGATAGGCGATTTTTGGAAAGCCGCGAGTGAGACGAATGGGGAGACGAAGACGAGGGATGAGAGTGGGAGAGAGAGGTGGAGAACGAAGGAGAGGCGAAGGAAGAGGAGAGCGCGACCCGCGACTGACGGTGTTGCTTTAGGCTGAGAGCGACACGTGCACGGGAGGACGCGATTGACGGCGCTAAGGACTGCGCACGAAGCACGACGGCTCTAGGAGGAAACGCTAGGGTGGCGGAACCGCGGGAATGGCTGGAGGAGGAAACAGCAGTCTGCGCACTCTGGAAGGTTCCAGGATGCTCCATCATGGCCGTCACCATTGTGACGTGAGCCCGCTAAGAGCAGAAGAATGACTGGTGTGATAGGGTTAGCCGGGTTTGACTTTCTAACCCTAGTTGGTAGCTGGTAAAATTAGCTTCGCCAGAAACGGCATTCTTTGGAGATTGACAGTTACTGGCGCAGCAGCGAGAATTTGCTAGAGAGATAAGGTGAGTGTGGCAGCGGGATTGTCGAGACGTGTATTGCAGCGAAAGTGACAACGGCGAAAGGAAGATCTTCAAGAGTGACCTCGCAAGGAGTCTCGAAAGCTTCCTGACGGAACGGAGAATCCAAGAAACCGAAAGAAACTGGAACCGATGTCACCAGCTCCGCGTACCGCGTCCTGAGAGGTATCGAAGTACGCGGCCAGTCGACACCTGTCAGTCTTTCGCGCACCTTGAGGCGCCTCGATATTGTGATGGTGAGCTGTCGAGGGACGAGATGAGGAGGAGAGGTTACCTTCGTTCTAGGGTGTTTCGCTAATACGTTTCTTGAAGGCCGGAATGAATCAAAATACTGTATCGTAACCTTAGGGCAACTACATTTAGGACAGAACCAGGCCACACCATTGTTTTCTTGATTGGGCAGGATAGTCATGCCAAGTCAACAAAACGTCTCAGATGGAAACCAATCGCATCCTTCGTCAGACCGTCTTTCGCGCCGTCGACTGCTGCCAACTCGACACGATGGCAACTCTCCGAGCTGGACTCGGATCTGGAAGCCGCTTCTGTGAGCTTAGCCAGCCGCGCGTTCCGTACGCGACTCGGTCGCACCGACATTGTAGCGGCTCGATGTTGGGAATTCCCTGAAGTGACATTCCATTGTTTGGGTACAAATGTGGCAAGAATTTGCGCTCCAGCATATCACCAAACTCAGGAGACCAAGATTCCTCGTTGCTGCTCCTCGACCAAGATCGTCCTTCAACCATCTAAAGAAGCGTTTTTTTCTCGTACAACTTCGTCGAAAGCTATCATGGCTCGTCTTCAGCTACTAATTCTATTCTCTCTACTTCTTCTGACGCTGTCAGCTGCAAATGATGATGACTTTTTTCCGACTGGCGTTGCAAGGCCTGCAACGTACAACCCTGGCAACAGGGCCACCAACGCACTGATTGACGCCCTAGAGGACGACTACTCCGCTTTTCTCTTCTTCTTCAAGCGCGCAGGTAATAAAATTCTGGCGCATACGTAACATCTACACGATCTTCCAACGTTACTCCTCTTTCACTCTCGAAATGTCTCGTTCATGATGCATATAAACTTTCTGAAACATGAGGGTCTTATTTCAGGTTTGGACAAGGAGTTTCCGGACTTGCTGTGCAAGTACACGGTCACCATATTCGCGCCGACGAACGAGGCGTTCAAGTCGCTCGACAGCGACCTGAAGAAGAAGGTTAAGGAGGACAAGCTGCTCCTGCGCGAGCTCATGCTGCTGCATGTCGTCAAGGGAAAGAAGACATTCGCACGCCTCCTCGAGCAGGAACAAGGCCATCAAGTAAGAAAAATCTGCACCTGATAAACTCGCTCTGCGTTCTTGGGCTATCAAAAACTTTTTTTTTTTTTTTTTTTTTTTGTTACAACCGTGCATTTATCCCCTACTAATTCGTTTTTGTTACCTTTCCTGCCAGTATGAGTCCCCTGCTGCTCGTGGCCAAGCCAAGCTGGCCAAGCGCTGTGACGATAACGACGAGCCGTTCATCATCTCGGCCAGGCAGGGTAAGAACGTAGCGACTATTGTGGACGAGGACGTGTTCGTGAGCAAGTTTGTGTCAGTGCAGGGGGTCGACGAAGTCATCCTGCCACGCAAGCTGCAGAAGCCGCACAAGTTTGAGACTCTTGTAGAGTGCATGAATAATGTGAAGTGAAGAGGGATGTTGGCCAATGCACCCCAAGTAGGGCAATAAATTGGGAAGACAGGGACAAGCATCATAGGGTACATGAAGAAAGAAATGTATGGTTTCGTTTGGTGTGTATGTAGGTAGGGCGGGTAGGGGACGGGAAGGGGAATAGGGTTTGGTTGGAGGTGGGGTTGGATGGGGAGAAGAGGGGAAAGGAGGGGGAGGGGGAGGGGGGTAAAGAGGGAATGTGGAGGGAGGGTTGGGGGGGGTGTAGGAGGATGAATGAAGGTAAGGTAAGGTGGGTGAATTGGGTTATAGGGTAGTATGCTCTTTTTTACTATGCTATGCTTCCTAATGGGTGATTGTGTGCTTGTTCAGGTGTGTAGTTTTGTACATAACAATAATAAATGGGGTGATACATATTTTACACAAAGCTCCAAAAGCTCATTTACACACGGGTTAGGCAATTATAATTAAAAGTATTCCAAGAGAGCATTTTTTTTTCCAAGAACTAATCACATCCCGAACATTTGAAGTGTACACATCACTGCGGCTGATAGAAACGCATCGCATTCTGATGAACTGAATGTGTCAGCGACGCTCTCGGGGTTGCTTCGATTCTATTTACCCTCCGTTGGTTTGCGGAATCACACACAGGTCGCATGTGCCAGTGATTGTCGCGAACACACAACTCGCTTCCTGCGGCCCAATGGGCTCCGTAACCCTAACGACCGCTGCGACAACGCTGCGACATAGAGCGGCGATCTCGTCGCTGCCGCATTGCTACGAATCGCATGCACAATGCACGACGAACCGCTCCGCGTACGCCTGTCAGTCGCTTCCACGTCAGCTCCGTACATCCACACATGGCGTCGTCAGCTCTCGAACCCTCCCTAGAGCAACCCTTCTGGTTCCTAGGCTAGTCGTTACAGCAGCCGTGGCTGCCGACAGGCTCGGCCCAGACGTGGACGAGGAGGCTCGGAGTGAGGTTCGGCGGCGGCAGGCTCGGCTCCTGTGGAACGTGGACGGCACGGAGCGCGGCGCGAAGGCGGACTCGGAGCGGCGCGGCGAGATCGAGGAGGCGGTCGTTGACTTGGAAAGACTCGGCGGAACTCCGTTGACCTCGGGATTGGATCGGCTGGACGGGTGGTGGGAGCTCAAGTACAGTACCGCTGCTGACGTCACCGGGATTCTCATGGCTCCGTCGTCGTTTCCGCTCCCCATTCTACAGGTACGGCTCCGTGCTCTTCTGTTTTTGGGTCACATGACTCAAAACCCCAAATGCCTCTCCCATTTTCACCCCAAAAACCACTCCACCCTCAACCCCGCCTTCCCCTTCCCCCTTCCCGCCCTCTCTCCAACACTGCCTCCCCGCCTTCCTCTGCGCCCTTCCCCCCATTCCCCCTCTCTCCTCCACACTGTCCTGATGGGGAAGGATTGATTCTTCCCCATTCCCCGTCTCTCCCCATTCCAGCACTAAATCCCACTTTTCCCCTTCCCTTATCCACGTGGACCTTGGTTCCCCTTCCCATTTCTCCCTTCTCCCGGAGCACTGTTTCCTCCCTCCTTCCCTTAACCCCCTCGGTCCGAGTGAGCCATACCTTCCAACGACTCATCTCCACCCCCCCTCCCCACCTCCCCCCTCTCTCCCCCTTTTTATCTCCCCCTCTTCCCCACCCTCCTTCCTTACATGTCCAGTTCGGTCATATCTTCCAGCATTACATCCTCCCCCCCCCCCCCCCTCCCCACCCCCCTTTCCCCCAGCTTCTCTCCCCCTTTCCCCTCCTTATCCTCCAGAGATTCATCTTTCTCCCCCATATCCCCCCCTTCTTCTCTCTCCCCTTCGCTGCCCCTTCCTTACATGTCCAGGTGGGCCGTATTTTCCAGCGCTACATTTCCCCCCCCCCCCCTCTCTCCCACCACTTCTCTCCGCCATCCCACCCCACTACTTGCATGTCCAGGTGGGTCGAATCTTCCAGCGCTACATCTGTGCCGGGAGAACAGACGGAGGCACGGTGCAGAACGTGGTTCGGTGGAGCCTGCCGGGCCTGCAGGTATGGCAATGAGGTATGGGTTCAATTCAGTAGGTGGAGGCATGGTATCATGCATTAGTACCTATCACCGCGGCCAACTCCAAAGGTGGCAAGATTTTAAGGTTCTGTTATCCGGCTTTAGACTTTTATCAGCCTTCCTCCTTCTTTGTCTTCCCATGCTTTCGATTACGCACCTTTCCTCCCTCTCGCTCCCTTCACTCTCTCCTCTCCTCCACCCGCCTTCTGTCCCCATCCTCTCCCGTCCCTCACACAGGACAAGGAGGGCGCATCCCTAAAAGTGACAGCAGAGTTTGATGTGCGCAGTGGTCATTCCATCCTTTAACCCCCCCTCCCCCGCTCAGCCCTCTTTTTCCCTCTCCCCTCCCTCACTCTCCCCGGCTGTGTCCCCCCTTCTCCCTCCACACAGGACAAGGAGGGCGCATCTTTAATAGTGACAGCGGAGTTTGACGTGCGCAGTGGCCGCGCCATCCAGCTGCAGTTCGAGCGGGCGGCGGTGGGCGGCGTGAAGATCAACGAGCAGCTGCAGGCCCTGCTGGCGCCGGCTGCTCTGCCCCGCACGCAGTTGTCACTAGATGTGAGACATGCATGCCTTGCCATAGACATAGTGCATGCATCCAGACATTCATGCATGCAGCTTCATGCTCTGCTGGCACCGGCTGCCCTGCCGCGCACCCAGTTGTCACTAGATGTGAGACATGCATGCATGCAGCAAGTTGTTGCTAGATGTGAGAGACACCTGCATACATGCATTCACATAGACATACTGCATGCATCCAAACATACAGACAAACATGCAGCTGCAGGCTCTACTGGCGCCGACTGCCCTGCCCCGTATGCATTTGTCGCTAGATGTGAGACGTGCGTGCATGCATGCAGTAAAATGCGTGCATATACGTGCGTATGCATGCAGTCATGCACCAGTTGTCGCTGGATGTGAGAGACACGTGCATGTATGCAGACATACACGCACATATGCGGACATGCACTCAGTGGTCACTGGTCTATATGTGAGACGCACAAGCATACATGCATTCAGTAGTGACTAGATGTGCAACATGCATGCCGAAAGACGTACATTCAGGCAGACATGCATACGTGGAGTTGCCGCCGTGTGATACCATGTTCCCGTGCCTTTCTCGCAGTATTTCCGTTGCAGGTGTTGCAATTTCTCGGTTCCATATATCGCACGGTGTACTGTGTGTGTTGCAGGCGCTGCAATTCTTCCGTTCCTTGGAGCTGTCAGTGCCTCTTGGCTCCCCTCTTCGATCCACCACAGAAGTATTGTCAAGGTACACCCCATACCAATGTTTATTCATTTACAAGACATAATAAGTAGCCTTCATAATGCTCGTGCGCATGTCGCGTGCCCATCCTCATCCTTCTCGTGTCCACCCACACGTGCACGACTGCAGTATCTTGAGGTCCTTCGAATGCTGGTTGCATTTGAATGCCAGATTGCCGCTAAAGAGCTCAGTTTTGTTTTGCACTTTTCTGCTTTGCCTATGTTTCAGCTCCATTCCCGCCAATCGCTTCATGATTACGTTTCTAGACGAGCGCATTTTGGTTGGCCGAGCTGTTGCTACAGGAGGTCTGTTCATTTTCGAGAAGTCGGAGGAACCGTCGTGAGTCTGGACTGAGCTGGGCTGGGTGCTTGGCTGTTGAGCTATCCAATCTGCGAAAGCATTACCCTTGTATACATGTTATAGGTAGGGTCCTACCTATGATCAACACAGGCAGGATATATCAATTAATCGGCATGCTGTCGTACCTCAAATTATGCCTTGATGCATGGTCTTCACCTTATTATTATGGGCCTTAGATTTGGAAACAGACATGTAACAGAGCTGTTGCATTCAGATTGACAAATTTGAAAGTTTGTCACATTTGAGTTTTCACACGGTGGCGTTTCGCCTACGTCAAAAGGTTAAAGGATGTGCTGACAGGATGCTCGCCTGCTACGTGGCAGCTTCAGACAAGCCTAGCCCGATGCTGTCGATGTCACGTAGCCCCTCCTCCCTTCCCGTGCAATCTCAAGCGGACACGACCGCAACATTCCGCGGGCGTGTCCTTTGGGATTATCACGCAATCAGAGCGCAACATTCCAGCCAATCATAACATGCTTTCGGAGCTTTCGCGGAATCTCGAATTCTCCGTGCCAGGGGACAGTGCAGCGCGTAAAGGCGTGTGTGATTTTAGTTCTGGTATGAGTTTACGTTTGAAAAATCGAATGTAGCATTTGAACATGAGGTGAACAAAATTTGACTTTCGTTGATGGCAAAGTTCGAGCCGCGCGTCTCGCAAACGGTTGAAGCACAACCACACACCCAAGTTCGAATTTGCACGTTCGACCTTATAGGGGGTGAGCCGAGCCGCCCGTAGGTTATTTAGGTTACCTGGATTCGTCTAGTTGTGTGAGACGAATCATTTACCTGGTTTCAGTGGTGCGCTCATTGGTGCACGATCAAATCGCATAAGTCGTCAACTTCTCTTGTGTGCCCAAAATAACACATGTTCGGTTCATCGTGCACTCTCACGTTCGTGCGTAGATTCGAGCCTTGTTCACTTTTTGCTAGTCGCATTTGTGTGTTTTACGATTTAATGTGCATTTCGCCAACCGCGTCGGCGACATAGGCGACAACGGTAACCAGTTAAAGTTCGACCTAAATTACGAACCTAAAACAATTTCACACACGCCCTAATAAACAAATGAACGGGGCAACGTGCGGAACGGATGCTTTCCCGTTCCGCGCCAATCATGGTTGGTGCTTTCCGCAAAAACTTGTCCTTCCGCATTGCTGCATTACACCTTTCCGCCGCTGTGCTTGACTAGACCCTCGCACCCAATTTCTCACAGCCCCCAAGGTTCAAAAGGCATCGATTGAACCTCACTATTTCTCTTAGACCAGTCTCAAAGCTCTCTCCCTGCTTGCTGCTGCGACGCAGCTTTTTCCCTGTTGCGACGCAAATTTTCCTGTGTCATAACAATTGCGTTCTGGTTTACCTACACGCGCTGTAGAGTCTGCCAGACGCTCCAATCGAGCTGAACTTGCCGTGTCCAATCGTACTCACGTTCAGTCGAGTTCTTCGGCCATGGATAGTGTTCTTTCTATGGCGACCACGTCAGCAAGCATGACATCGCAGTCCGCAATTGGGCTTAAAAATAGACTTACAACTTCCGGGTTCTCCGGAGGACTACGATCTGCACCGTTGAGGTTTTCCCCATCTCACGGCCAGCGTTTCAGCAAACAAGCAGGAATGTCTAGCCTTGCCGCGAGGGCCGCGTTCGATCCGCTGCATCTAGACGCCGCGATTTCCACAGTTACTTCCCACAATTTCCTCTACGCCGTTGCCGATGCGGCGGATGCGGCTGCCTCCGCGGCTGCTGATGTGTCAACCGCCGTGGCGGCTGTAGCAGCTGACGCGGCGGCGTCTGGCGGAGACGCAGCGGCTGCTGCGGCTTCCGATGGTGGCTGGTTCGCTGGGCTCGCTAACGTTCTGGAGAGCATTTTGAAGGTGAGATTGGGAGGTGTAGTCGACTCGGAAAATTACATACCTCGGTTCTTTCTCCTTGTTGTCTCAAAGTAATTCTATACAGTAACGTCCTCTGGAGAAACGTCACTACTTCATGTTTCAGCTATTTTATTTGGGCGTGCGGATATTGTGGAGCGATTTCTGATGGTGACAGGGGGCATGTCTTTCCGGAGATTATGGATAAGTAGTGCGGTAATGTCGTTTCTAGTGATGGCTTTCACCCACCAACTGCGATCAGGCAGGCCCCTCGTCTTCTCGACGGCTAGCAATGTATACATTTTTCAACGTATGATGAGAGGTTTTTAGAACTGTAATCAAGGAGGCGTATCAGCAAGCATCTGGTCTGTCCTAATGAATCGTCGTCGGTCCCTCGCGGTACCACTTTTCCATTTGCCGGTGTTCCCCTTTCGGCGTCGTGGCTCAGCTGCTGCGACAAAGCATAGTTCCAACCAACGCACGGCCTTTTCTACCGCCCGTATGCACTGAAATTTGATCTCGCCGGCTCTGCTGGAAGGAGAAAAGGCGCCTACCTCGCTAGTTGAATCATTTCAACGAGCGCTTGGTGCGATAGAACGCTGTCCCGCTGTACCCTGCCGTCCACGCGGGACTCTCTCACGCTACCTATGTTCCTCATTCCGCCGCATTTCGTCCCCTTTTCCGATCCACCCCGAAACCCCCTAACCCTTATTCGTCTCCTTCACCCTTGCTCCACCCCTCCTCCCCTCGTGTGTCGCCGCTCATCTGACAATCTTCCTCTCCGCAGGTGCTGGAGCAAGGGCTGGCGTCGGTGAACGTGCCGTACGCGTACGGGTTCTCCATCATCCTGCTCACGCTGCTCGTCAAAGTCGTCACCTTCCCGCTCACAAAGCAGCAGGTACGCGGTTTTCTCGCCCCCCTCCTGCACTTCCTCCCTTCTTCCATCGCCCCTCCCCCCCCCTTCCTGCTCACCAAGCAGCAATTGGGCGATATTCCGCTTCCCGTGGTAAAAAAAAAAAAAAAAAAAAACCCTTTTTGGATCAGAAAAGTTGCACATTTTTTCCCTCATTTTCAAATCCAGTGCTCTTTCTCGTTTCCCGTTGACGCTTTCAATCGCCCCCCCACTTGTTTTGAATTTCGCTCGATCTCCTATCTTCCATTCGTAAAATCCACGTAGAACCTCGCACCTGTTGGAGTCAACGATGACCACGCATAACCTCGCGCCCAAGGTCAAGGCCGTTTGATTCCTAGCACGTTGACATGCCTGTCGTTTTGGGTTCCCTCTCTCCGTTCCCGTTCCTCGCATCCTTCCCCTCCCTCTCTCTCTCCCTCTTTGCAGGTGGAATCCACGATGGCGATGCAGAACCTCGCGCCCAAGGTCAAGGCCATTCAAACCAGATATGCTGGCGATCAGGTACAAGTCGTACACTCCTCCCCCCCACCCTACCTTCGTCCTCCCCATATTTTCCCCGTTCCTCTAATCCCCTTTCCCCCTCTCCACCCCCCCTTCCCCTCCCTCCCCCACTTTTCCCCTCCCTCTTGCTCCCCCCCAACACCATCCTGTTGTTCCGCGTATCAAAACAGCAACATTCGCTCTTACTTCTGTCCCCTTTCCCCACTTACCCTCTCTTCTATCTCTCCCATCTCCCTCTCCCGTTCACCTCCCCCGTTTCCCTCTCCCATTCCTCCATCCCACTGCTCCCTCGCATCGCTCTGACATCATCAGGAGCGCATTCAGCTGGAGACATCGCGCCTCTACAAGCAGGCTGGCGTCAACACGTTCTCCTATCTTGTTCCCCTCTTGTGTTCCTCGTTCCCATTCCCCTCCCCCATTCCTCTCTTCCATTCCCCCCTCTCATCGCTCTGACGCCATCAGGAGCGCATTCAGTTGGAGACTTCGCGTCTTTACAAGCAGGCTGGCGTCAACCCACTTGCGGGTGAGGATAGTGATTTCTTTTACTAGTTTCCTGATATGTACAAAGATTCTTTATGCTACTGATGAGCCTCTCCTCACTTCGTTCCCGTTGAGCTAGCCCCAATGACTCCAGATTGGCGATTGAACCTCTTGGACGCTTTGACTTTAATTTCATGTTCCATTGTACGTGTTTTATCTGTTTTCTGGGTTTGTCCCTTTCCCTTCACGCGTGTCCTCCTGCAGGGTGCCTGCCCACGCTAGCCACGCTACCTGTCTTCATTGGGCTGTACCAGGCGCTCAGCAACGTGGCCAAGGAGGTGAGTGTAGAGAACGTGACTGTGGAGAAGATCATCTAGAGGAGTGGAGAGAGGTGCCAGGCCCTGAGAAACGTGGGCAAGGAAGTGAGGCTAAGTGAAGAGATGAGGATGAGCAGCAGGACCGCCAGTGAATGAAAAAAATAATGCTGGCTGTAAGAAGAAAAAGGAAAGGCTGTGTGACTGTTGACGCTAGGCACTCCTCCGGTTTGTAGCAAGGGGGTGAGAGTAGCGAATGTGACTTATAGGAGCATATAGAGGGCTGTTGAGGGGTACCAGGTCGTCAGCAACGTGGGCAAGGAAGTGTGGATGAGGGGAGGGGGAGGTAACCAATAGATGAGACTCAGTGCGTGATGTCAAAAGAAAGGGGAAATGCTGATTGCCTGCCTACGTTAGCCACTCTTCACCGGTCTTCACCGAACTGTACCAGGCTCTCACCAACGTGATCAAGGAGGCCCGGAAGAATAGAATGTATGATTTTAACGGGAGGAATAAGAAGGGTGCGTGCTCACATGCTAGCTACTCTGCCGGTCTTAATTGGAGAGTAGAGAGCTCGGCAGTAGAGAGGATAGAAAAGGGTATCAGGTGCTCAGTAATGCAAAGGGTGATATATGAAGGTATAGGAAGGTATATGAAGGTATATGAAGGGGTAGTTATAGAATGTGTGATGGTAAAGGGAGGTTCGACAAGGGTGACTGCCCACCTCAGGCCACTCTGCTTGTCTACAGCCCGTCCCCTTCTCCACAACCTCATCCGCTCTCACCCTATCCCACCCCACCCCCGCCCGCCCGCCCGCCTCCCGCCCGCCTCCCGCATCTCACCACCCAATGCCGGCCCTACGTCCATACGTGTCTCGCACTCCACCACCTCTTCCCCTCCCCTTTTACGTGCTCCTCTCCCCAATCACACATCGCTCCATGACAGGGAGTGCTAACAGAGGGCTTCTTCTGGATCCCTTCCCTTGCCGGCCCCACGTCCATTGCTGCTCGCGACAGCGGCTCAGGCATCTCGTGGCTCTTCCCCTTCATTGTGAGTCACAGGTCAATCAGTTCCTCGTCTTTTAGATTTCTCAAAAGCAGCTCGTGGCTGGCAGCTGCTCAGGCACCTCCTGGCTCTCCCCCTTCATTGTGGCCTCTTGCTGTCCTTGCCTTGTTTGAGTTGCAACTTCGCTTGCCTTTTTTGGGCTGGTACCTGTCCTGCTTTGTTCGGGACGTGACTTCCCTTCTCCCTCATCACAAGTCGATACTCTCTCGCTTATCCTCTGTACCTTGGTATGGTTTCAATTCGCCTTGTTTGCTGTAGTACCTTTTATTCTCAGTGTCTGTTTTAATCCGCCAGGGTAGGACAATTTCTTTCCCCTTCACGTTTTCTGTCCTTGGACTCCACCCCACAGCACGTGTGGAACACCACTGCCTGGGTAAGAGGCGATGGGGCTGTATCTGGTGAAGCATAGGAAAATAGTTCAGTGCCCAGCACTCAACCAAGAAACAAAAGCCCAGTGGGGCTGTATCTGGTGCTGCCACTGCTGCTCCTCCCCTCACTTCCCTTTATCGCTCACTATAAACTATACCCCATTCTTCTCTGCCTACTCTTCCCCTCGCCTTTCCTTCCTCCCTATGCCTCCTTCCCCTCAGGACGGGGTCCCACCGCTCGGGTGGGGGGCGACAGCTGCTTACCTGGTGCTGCCGGTGCTGCTGGTGGCATCTCAGTTCTATGCCATGCAGATCATGCAGCCCCCTCAGAGCGACGTGAGTGGTTAGAGTGTTTTGGTGTGACTGTCCGTGTTTAGAGTGTGACAGTATATGGAGTGCCAGTCAGTTCTATGCCATGCAGATCATGCAGCCCCCTCAGAGCGACGTGAGTGGCTTGAGACTGGTGGTGTGTGTCTGTGACTGTGCTAGTGACTGGTGGGAGCGTGTGTTAGCGTCTGGGGTGCTGCCGGCGCTGCTGGTGGCGTCGCATTTCTACGCCATGCAGACCATGCAGCCCCGTCAGAGCGATGTGAGTGGTTAGAGTGTGTTGTGTGGGTGTGGCAGTGTGAGTGTGACAGTGTGTGTCGGTGTATGGAGTGCCAGTCAGTTGTACGCCATGCAGATCATGCATCTGCCTCAGAGCGATGTGCGTGGTTTGAGTCAGTCGCGTGGTGTGTGTGTGTGAGGTGTGTGTGAGGTGTGTGTGTGTGTGAGTGTGTGTGTGTGTGTGAGGTGTGTGTGTGTGAGTGTGTGTGTGTGTGAGGTGTGTGTGAGCGTGACAGTGTGTGTGAATGCCAATCACTCTTATGCCGTGCAGAGTGTGGAGAGTGTGGAGAGTGTGGAGAGTGTGGAGAGTGTGCAGAGTGTGCAGAGTGTGCAGAGTGTGCAGAGTGTGGAGAGTGTGCAGAGTGTGCAGAGTGTGGAGAGTGTGGAGAGTGTGCAGAGTGTGGAGAGTGTGTAGAGTGTGGTCTGCATGATCATACAGTTCCTTCAGAACGACATGAGTGTGGTTTGTGTGTGCGTGTGATGTCGTCTGAGTTGCATTGGAAGCTTTGGCTCTGTTCCTCGTTTCCCCCTGGTGTGCTCCAACCTATTCCCAACACTCCTGCCTGCCCTTTGCCACTCCCACGACCAGCACAGGAGATTGACGCAAAATTCTCTAAGTCCCTCCTCTCATGTTTCTGCTCACACTTCCTCTCTCTCATCTCCTGCCGTCTGTCCTCTCCCATTCCCCCCCTCCCTCCTATCACCAGGATCCAGCACAGAAGAACACACAAGTGATCCTCAAGTTCCTGCCTCTCATGATTGGCTGGTTCTCCCTCTCAGTCCCCTCCGGTCTCTCTCTTTACTGGTAAGGCCACCATCAACTGTGTAGGGTTACATTATTCATCTCACTCTGCCATTTACCATCATCTGTGTAGGGTTACCACCATATCTCTCCCTCTCTGCACCATCTGTCCTTTCCCTTCTTCAAAAGAGCTTGATTTGTTTTGTTTTGTTTTTTTGCTTGCTTGTGCACACCCCCCACGACTTCCCCCTCAACGCGCACCCATTTCCTCCCCTGTCCACACACCCCTTCTCCCCCTCCCCAGGTTCACCTGCTGAGCACGGGCCAAACCATCTACCTGCGCAAGATGGGTGTTGGCATGCTGGTGACTCATGACTGTCAAGGCACAACCCTTTCTCCCCCTCTTCTCCCCACTTCAACCCATCCCCTTCTTCCTTGCCCCCAGGTTCACCAACAACCTCCTGAGCATGGGACAGGCCATCTACCTTAGCAAGATGGGCGGCGCCACCCCGAAGGTGGCAGCTGGGGGAGGCGACATCATCGACGTGGGGCAGGCTGAGCGCGCCTCTGCTAACCCCTCATTCCCCGTCCCCCACCCCTTCGTTAGGTTCACCAACAACCTTGCAGTTAACTTACAACTTTCCCTTCCCTTCACCCACCCCCCCTATCTCCCTCCCCAACCCCTCCTTCCCCCCCCTCTCCCCCTTCTTTTTGCCTTGCCCCCAGGTTCACCAACAACCTGCTGAGCACGGGGCAGACCATCTACCTGCGCAAGATGGGCGGCGCCACGCCCAAGGTGGCAGCTGGGGGAGGCGACATCATCGACGTGGGGCAGGCCAAGCGCTCCTCCGCCGCCTCTGCCGTCATTGCCACAGAACAGGACAAGGAGAAGCTGCGCGGTGAACAGTTCCGCAAGCAGAAGGAGACGGACGCTGCTCGCCGGTCGGCCAAGCGGGCGGCGGAGGAGGCGGCGCGGGCGGCGGAGGAGAAGGCGGCGCGGGAGAAGGCCAGGCTTGAGCAGCTGAGGGCGGAGATCTCGGGGGAGGGGGAGGAGGAGGTGGCAGTGGTGGAAGCTGAGGTGAGTTGCTGTTGAGGGCTGTGTGGCAATCCTCAACCTTGTGTTTTTTAGAGAATGTCCGATGACTGGTGGCATTACCTGTGGGGGTCTTGAATCCGTTTCCTGCCTCCTCTGACCCTTGGCACTCCTCTCCTCACACTTGCTTTCAACCCCCTCCTCTATAGGTGGTTCCTGTGGCTGGGCAGAACGGAGCAGCAGCAGAGGAGTCCAAGGCAGTAACACCAAAAGCTGCAGTGGCGCCATCATCAGGAACACCCCGCCGCAGCCGTCGATCTCGTAGGACCCGAAAGGCAACCCCTGAGTAGGGTTCAGTTGTAGATTTTTGTTTTTGTAGCTGATGTGGTTTTGTTGTAGTCTAGAATTGATCAATGTGTGTGTGCTTGAATGGCCATGTTGTTAAAATTCAAGGTTCAAACACTACTGATTTGTTTCATGACATTATGAGGGCGGGCAGGTCCCCAAAGTAGCTATAATGAGGTATTGTTAGACTGAAATGTATGGGATGCACTTGCCAGAATAATGGGAGGCTAGATCGGTGCAGTCAGGTTAATCGCGTAATGCTTCTGGTTCATAGATTACGGCCCTGTTCGATAGGTTAGAACCAGAATGCAGGGTGTTAGCCTGTCAAGCGCATCCCTTACAAGAAACGTTCGCCCGTCTAGGAAGATTCTCGGTCGTTCTCGCACGGGCAATGGTTTTAGCCCACGTCTAGCCTAACCCTCGCCCCCCCAAAGTGGGGTTTGCCAAAGGGCTCGTCAAGGGCTAACAGTAAGGGTTACCCAAAGCGTGCACCCGGAAAAACAACCCGAGAGCCCAACTGCTCGGAAAAAATCTGCCAAATGAAGACCAGAACGATCTCATGGCATGTGATTTGTGGTGGAGGCCTTTCTTTATTTTATCGATGTTGTTACCCATACTCCTCTCGCATGCCATCCAATGTTTTCAAATGCCCGCGAGGGGCGAGCAGCATTGCACTCAGGGCCCCGCTCCTTCCGATCTCTAGGGGCGGGGCTTCCGATTGGTTTGGGCAGTCGGTCAGCTAGGGGAAGTTGCGCTGAACTCTCCCCTTCACACTAGCCAAACCCTCGCCTTCGCAAGGTATTAGCCTATCGAACAGGGCCTACGAGTACGGGTTCTCAAGGGTCAACCTATAATGGTGGTTGAACAAGCTTTACTTTCGGTATAGGCTTGAAAGTACAGTCAGGTGGTTCCCTCCAAACCTCGGCGCCCACTGGTCTGGGTTGTTCCCGCAAGCTGCGGACCTCCCTCCTGTGAGGGATCGCGGCGTTGTTGCGGGACCAACGGCCCCACAGCTGGCGCCAAACCTGTTCCCCTCGCAACGCGTCCCTGGAGCCCTGCTACAACAGTGTACCAGACCTCATCGCCTGGTTCGCTTGGTAGGGCCTAGGCTCGAATCTGAGGCACCTGACACCAGCAGCACTTGTGACTTCACTAATCACCAACCACCAAACCTGTTCACGCGCTGGTTTTTCCGTTGCGCAAACCTAACCCCCCATGCACCATGAACAGCTCGTGTACATGGGTCCGTCCGCTTCCCTGCGATGGATGGTGGTTATGAATCTCATGTACAGAACATGGAACTCATGCCGAATTCACATGCCTCGGCCCAAACCTACATCACAGGCTGTGACCCACGTGTTAGTCGTGTGCGGCACCCCTGAAACGCCATAGCTCATGATTGAAAGTTCGCGATCAGCACACATTGGATGATTTAACCGAGAAATAACGTTTCGTACCGTAATAAGTCATGGTAAACCGAACGAGAAAACCTTGTCAGCCAAACCCGAACCTCTCTGTCACATCAGCCACGCCCTAACCTAGCCAGAAACTCTTGTTCGGCTTCTCGTTATTCACCAGTCTCCCAAACCTGCCCATCACCTCCCTCCTCCCTCCACCTGCCATGGCCATGCTCACAATTCATTCTTGGTCAGCCATGGCCTCGCCGCATCCTCCGCAAGCATGCAATTATCCAACCAACCCACCCATGCTTGCTGCACTCCACGCCCTCACATTCGCAAAACATCTCGCCGCAACCCCAAACTCGCAGCTTCGAGAGTTTTCTTCCAGCCGTGGTCAGGCTGCGTCGCTCGTCTTGGCCTTGGCTGTGTCATGTTACTTCTCCTCCACTCCAACTTTGTTTCTGAAAAGCTCTTCAATTCGCTCTCCTCCCTGATTACTGACGCACTTGCGCTGGCTCGTTTTCTGAGATGGCGGCCGCCGCTCTCTACTCCCTGGCTGTGTTCGCCACGGTCGTCATTCACGAGTCAGCTCATCCTGTCATCAGCGAACTGCGTAACCTGGTCTTCGTCGCCTTCGTTTTCGCCAGAGCTCTTCTTGGTTTCGCAGCCTCGCTGATCTTCCGTGCCGCCCACTTGCCGTCATGTCATTCTGCGACGTGTCATTCGGCCACGTGTCATGGCTCTTGTAACGTCAGGCCAGCTCCTGAAGCCTTCCACTTCTGCTCGACAGATTCTCCTGTTGCCGAACCTTCCACGTCAGTTTCCAAAATTCCGAACTTGGATTTGCCGCCAGCTTTAAGCCAGCGGAAGGTTCAGACCAGCGATTGGGTCAATCGCCGCTCGCGCTCGCTATTGTCACCTTCGTTAGTGTCACGCCCATCAGTGCGAGAGAACACGACAGTAGGAGCGGATAAGAAATGGATAGCCGTTGGCGGACTGCGGGCCCGGCGCGCTAAGATGGCCTGTCGCAATTTCGCGGAGGCGGCCTTATATCGCGTGTCGCTGAGCTGTCAGGGGCAGGAAAGGCGGAGACTGGGACTTGGACGGAGGGGAATACGAATGTTCCGGGATGCTGGCGAAAGTGGAGTTGAAAGGGGGAGGTCGGGACGCGTGTTGGCGGAAGGGGAGGGGGAAGAAGGGAAGGGACGGAGAGACCACAGGCATCGTAAGAATGGTAGATTGGGGAGACGAGAGGGTTGTTTGGACGCTTTTGACTTACAGTATAAGGGGGATATGGCGGCAGAAGAGGCGTGTGGTAAGGATAAGGCAGGGTGGGGGCAATCATGGGGGGAGCATTCGGGGGAGGACGAGAATAAGGAGGTGGTGAGTGTGGAGCTTAGGAAGGGAAGGATGGAGGAGGAGGAGGCAGAGGAGGAAGAAGAGGAGGGAGAGGAAGAGGCGACGCGAGGAGGGATTGTGATGCTGTTCGAGTCGCCGCTTGAAGCGGTTGCTGAGGATACTGTCCGCAAGAGATCTGCGGTTAGACCGGCTTCACGTCGGAAAGTTAAAAGCAAGGATGATTTTGGAGCGAAGGAGTCGTGCGAAGGGCTGCGCGACCCGTTATTGGCAGGGTTTGGTTGTTATAACGCGGATGTGGGAAGCGCGGGAGTTGAGGGATCTTGGGATTGGTCGCCTTGCGCGTCACAACAGCTCCGGTTTCTCCCAGATTTGCGCGACGCGACTCCCCCATACAGTCACGACCGCCCGTCGGACAGTCCATATAGGCACAATAGCTTAGAAAAGGTGTCAGTCCTTTACAAGAGCCACGAAATGAGAGCGAGCAACGAGACGGGGGCACATGCATGGCGTTTACACTCCCACGACAGCAACCTTCCCCATGCCTCCTCCTACCTGCCCTCTCGCGATCACAACCTTTCCCATTCCCCGTCCTGCCCGCCCTCCCTCTCGTCTCGTCAACTCTCCCGTCGTCGTTCGCGCCGAACCTGCCAACGAGCCTCGGTACCAGCGTCGTGCGGAACCTCCCTTGAGGGTGATTCGCTTGTACGAAACGAGCAGGAGGAGGAGGGGGGGCAGGAGGAGGGAGAGGAGAGGGAGCGAGAGGAGGAAAGGGAGGAGGAGGAGAAGCAAGAGGACGATTTGACTGTCCTGCGTTGCGCCTTAGAGCGCGAAATGGAGCTTTCTGATTCGCTGCGCCGCGAGGTGGAGCAGGAGCGAGCGGCGGCAGACAGTGCCGCCCAGGCGAGCATGGATCTGATTCGCCAGCTGCAACAGGACAAAGCTGCCGCCCAGCGCGCGGCCGGCAGTGCCGCCCAGAGAGAGCGGATTTTGGAGCAGAAGGTGTTATCTGATAAAGAGGAAATGGGACTGATGAGAGATGTGCTAGAGAGGCAAGAGGAGGAGATAGCATTTTTAAGAGAAATGCTGGAGCAGAAACAGGTGGAGGTTAGGGTTTTAGAAGCTGAGCTGGCACTGTGGAGAGGACACGTTGCGCAAGCTGATTTGCAGGTGGAAAAGGTGGGGGAGGAAGATCTAGGGGAGGAACAACGGCTGGTGGGGGAAGGGGAAGGGGAAGGAGCGGCAGTAGCAGTATCAGCGAAACATGGTGGATCAATCTCAGGTGAACATACTTTAGATACGTCTCAAGAATTAGCTGTAGAAGAACAGATGCTTGAAACTTGTCAAGGATCGGGCTTGAATGGGGAGGGGAGTTCGGAAGAAGGGATAGAAGGGGCAAGAGAAGGACGAGGAAGACGAGGGGGAAGTTTTGGGGCGATGGAAGAGGAGGTGAAGGAGGGGCGTTCGGGGATAGAAGGGGAAGAGGAGGAGAGTGGGAATTTAGGGAGAGAGGAGAAGGAAGAGGAGGAAGAGGAAGAGGAGGAAGAGGGGAGTTTTGAGGATGAAGAGAGAGACGAGGAAGAAGGGGAAGGGATAATTGTTGGAGATGGAGGGGAAGTGGAGTGAGGAGTTGAAATGGAAGGATGAGTGGATGGAAGAATGATGAGTGGATGGAGGGAACAAGATGAGGGGAGTCCTTGTGTAGATAGGTTTACTGTAGAGCATGCCCTATGGATTGTAGTTTACTGTATAGTAGTTGATTTAGGCACTGAATTGTGCAACCACTATATGGTAGCTCTTCAAGCAAATTTGATGCTGCAGTGCAGCATTCATTCACTTGCATATGCTGTTTATGCTGCATGGCATCCATTCTGCAATGAATGATTACAGAATTATTGAACATACAAAACATCATCTCCATTGACCGTGGTTTAAAGCCAAGTACCCGCTAAACAATCGTCCATTGGTACACCTTAGTTCATCTATAAGCCTGTTCCAATTCGACCCAAGTGTACCAACAAAATAGTCGCACTGTGACGCTATAATGAGGTTGACGAAGCTGAGCCCCACCAGCACATCTGCACCCACAGCAGCCTCGTATTCATGCATGGTCATCGCCCCCTCCTGCCTTGGGTTCTGCGTGAACAGAAACGTCCAATCCCGGTGCTGCTCCTTTGCCTCCTCTATGACACTCTGGGAAGATGGGAGAGGGGTTAAAGGGAAGGAGATGCATGGGGAAGCAAGGTGTGGGGAGGAAGCGAGGAAAAGAAAGAGGAGGTGAAACCAGCAGCCTGGTTTTTGGGATTAGACAGTTTTGAGACGTCTCAAAACCAGCAGCCTGGTTTTTAGGATGAGACAGTTTTGAGATGTCTCAAAACCAGCAGCCTGGTTTTTGGGATTAGACACTGAACCCACCCCCTCACCCACACACCTGCATCTCAGTGCTGAGCCAGATGTGGTTCAGATTCGGCGCATTCCTCCTCATGTGCTGCGCCGCTGCCACAAACGCCCTCAGAGGCAGCAGGCGCATCTCGCCAGCCTTGTCGCCCTGCCTCACATGCACACTCACTATCGGCCGCGGCAGGTACGGCTCCTCAGATAACCCCGCCCAGGATACCACCTCCCCCTGCCCCGCCCCCCCCTGCCCCTCCTCCCCTTGCCTCCCTTCCCCTTGCCCCGCCTTCCCTTCGCCTGTGTCCCCCTCGCCTGCCTCCCCCACCTCGCCTCTCCTTCCTAGGGTTGCGCAAGCAGGGGTGTAGAGGCGTCCGCTAGCAGCTGCTGCAGGGTTGAGCGGCCAAATGGAGGTCTCTAGGAGAGAGGAGTCGAGAGATGATCCGAGCCAAAGGGGATGCTGTATGTCACTGCTTCTGCTGCCGCCGCCGCCGCCACCACTGCTGCTACTGGTGTCAGTGGCACTCTCAGGTCCGCCTTCACCACGTGTAGCGAGTTTGTTTTTGAGACGTCTCAAAAACAAACTCGCTACACGTGGACCGCCTTCACCGTTGCCATTACCACTTCTGCTGCCTTCTTCCTCAGAGCTGTTACCACTGCCACCAGAAGCAGCACCGCTACCATCCCTCCCACTCTCCCCGTCGCCATCCTCCCCATCAGCACCAACAGTGACCACCCCCCCATCCACATCAGCTAAAGCTCCCAACCATGCCTCATCCATCCCCCCACCACCACCCCCACCCCCATTCCCACCACCACCACTACCACTACCACTACCATCCCCACTGCTGCTTCCCCCCCGGAGCATCTCCAGAGCAGCGGATTTGGCAGCAGCAGCAGCAGTTAGAGAGAGGGCGACTCTGAAGCCGTATGTGTGGTGGCGGGCGGAATTGGTGAGATGGCAGAGGTAGGCTGTGGGGGAGCGCAGGAAGAAACGGATCGATTGGCTTCGCCACCAGTGCACCTGATGGGATAGGTGCGAGGAAGGGAATTGGGGTCAGGGGAGAACAGGAGGCAAGAGCAAGTGAGATGGCAGAGGTAGGCCGTGGGGGAGCGGAGGAAGAATCACACCGGCTGGTTTCGCCACCAGTACACCTGGGATGGACGGGCGGATGGGAGATGGGCAAGAGGAGAAGAGAGTACGGAGGCAGGAGTTAAGAGGCGGTGGGCAGTGGGTGGGTGGGTGGATGGGTGGGTGGGTGGGTGGGTGGAGGGTAGATGGTCAGAGATAAGCGGTAGATCATGGACCAACGAGCTACAATCGAGGCGCCTTACAGTGAGTTACGCTGCGATCTGATTGGTCCGTTACCTTGAGCAGCTCGTCTGACATGGCAGGAGAGCCTCCCACGTGGTGCACTGTGATTGGACGGTCGTACCAGGGAGACCCCCAAAGACTGTTGGGTGTGCAGGTGGTAAAGGGAAAGAGAGGGCAAGGGTGCGGAGGAGTGGTGGGAGTGGGAGAAAGGGAACAGGGCCGAAGGGGGGTGAAAGGATTCACTTTTGAGAATTTGCAAAAGTATTGGAGGCAGTCAAAAGTGAAGCAGGGGTTATTGCAACAGATGAATGCTAATCTGAAGCTAGACTAGACTAGCCAATCATATATGTCTCAAACGAGGGATTGGTGGCTGTCTAGAATGAAGCAGGTATTGCTGCAAAAGTTGTTAATCAAAGAACCCCGAAGGAGAATTCTTCTCCAACAATCGACAAGTCAGACCTACTCATGAAAGCAGCAATCCCAATCTACAGCAATCCTACATGGCAGTGTCAGCCTGAAACTTGAATCGCAGAGGCCAGGGAAAGTTAGCCGCAATTAAAAGAACCGGCTAGTCTGAGGCGGAGTGCGGCCTTCATCTCCTCGTAGTTGCGGGGTGCATACATGCTCGAGCTTACATTTCAGCGGCCGGAAGCAACCTTACCTGGCAGCATCAGCCTGAAATTTGAATCGCAGAGGCCAGGGAAAGTTGGCCGCTATGTAATAAACGGGCTCGTCTGAGGCGAGAGCGACTTTCATCTCCTCCAAGTTGCGCGGAGCGTACGGTGCTCTCTTCTCAGCCACTGCTACTGCACCCGCGCGCTCACACTCGAGGGAGGAGATGGGGAGGAAGTAGCAGGAGAGCGAGGAGGGGTGGCCTGTGTCTGGGAGAAAGCGGTAGGGGCGTGGTGGGGAGGATAAGGGGCATGAGATTGAGTTAGTGAGACGCAAAAAGATTTCAGAAATTTATAAGAAGTGATTTTCTGCCACTGCTGGTGCACACGCACGCTCGCATTTGAGGGGGGAGATGGGGAGGAAGTAGCAGGAGAGGGAGGAGGGGTGGCCCGTGTCTGGGAGAAAAGGGGGGCGGGGCAGAGGGGGGGGGGCATGGGTGATTGGGGGGGAAGGGGCGTGAGGTAGAGTTGATGAGGTGCATACATAGGCACATATGGCGTGAGCAGACATGATGAGGAGTGGTGACGAGAAAAACACCACCATCAAGGATTGGTGATGAGACAGCACACCACCGTCGAGGAGTGGTGATGCCCATGCCAAATCCCTGCTACAGCCGCACCTTGTGTCATGCCATCGCCCCACCTTGGCATGCAGCACGAACGGCATGCTAAAAACCTCAGGGACTAGACTAGCTCAATTTGGGGACCAAAGTCGACCGCAACTAAAGGCATGATGTTTATGGCTGCACGTCTAACAAAAGAAGGCGTACATGCTCTGCAGTTGGGGCTTAGGGCAGCGCATGCTTCAGCTTCACACTCACCTGTGCAGGCAGCAAGAGCGGCATGCTCAAAGCTCCCAGGCAGCACAGTGAGCACACTATCATCATAGGCCACGGCAAGGCTGAGAGTAACGGACATGATGTGCATCTGTGCGCCGATGCCAAAAAAAAGTACCGCGATGGAAGAGGAGTCACACCACATGCTACAGCCGCACCTTGTCATGCCGCCTCACCTCTGCAGGCAGCGTGAGCCGCATGCTCAAAGCTCCCAGGCAGTACTGTGAGCACTCGATCATAGGCCACGGCAAGGCTCAGGGCGGCAGACATGATGTGCATCTGTGCGCCAATGCCAAAGCCCATGTTTGTCCCCACCAATGCATGCCACAGCCTCACACTCACCTCTGCAGGCAGCATGTGCGGCATGCTCGAAACTCCCCGGTAAGACAGTCAGAATGCGGTCATATGCCACGGCAAGGCTGAGAGCAGCAGACATGATGTGCATCTGTGCGCCAATGCCAAAGCCATGCACCGGCGGCCACGCCACCACCAGAAGCTTCCTCGTGCCTTCCCCCTCCCCCGAGCAGGAGCCGGGCGGCGGGAACTGGTGCCCCCAGAGGTCTGTCTGCACAACACGTGTCATTGCTAGATTGGCCGCGTCCGTGCCGCGAATCTGGGTGGGCAAAGGAGGAGGGAGGGCGAGGAGATTAATGCAGGAGGGAAGAGGAAGAGTGAGGGAATGAGGGGAGGAGGGAGAAGGAGAGTTTGAGGAAAGGACGAAGAAAAAAGGGAAACTCCGGAAGAGGTGGAGTGCGGGAAGGAAGAAGGGAGGGTGGGGTGAGGAGAAAGGAATGGAGGGGAGGAGACAAGGGAGGAGCAAAGGGAGACATGAGCAGGTGGAGGGAAGGGCGCTGGAATGAGAAACGGAGAGCCGGAGGGGAGGTGTGGCAGCGGCAAGCTGATAGTAAGTGATACAGACGCAACAACTCTCCTGAGATGAATTGTTTGCGATTCCGGTGGATTCTTTCAAATCCCTAAAACCCCAAAAACCTCCCTCCCTCCCTCCCTTCCTCCCTTTTCATCCTCATCCTCCCTTTTTCACATGCACCTCCCCTGCCCTAGTCTCTTGCACACCTCCTCCTATAGTCCGTTCCTCCCTCACCCACAACCTCAATCCCCCCTTTCTTCCCTTCCCCCACCTTGTTCCCCTTTCCCTCTCCCCTTTCCCCCCTTACCCGCCTTATTCCACTATCCTCTCCCTACCCTTCCCCTTCCCCATCCCCCTGCCCCGCTTCCCCTAACTTCCCACACCCACCCAGGGCGGATCCGGCGACCGATCAGAGCAGTTGGACGGCCGCGCCCAGGCGGGCATCTCCCCCGCGGGTCCGCGCACCTCCGCGGCCTCTCGCGCACGCGACAGCGCCGCGCAGTTTTCCATATGCGGAGCCAGCGGAACGCGCGCCCCGCGCCCGCCTCCGGGCCCTCTGGGTGCGGACGCGCTAGAGGCGAAGCCCGGAGGGGGGCGGAGGGTTCGGGGGGGGAATAAGGGCGGTTGCGCGACGTGCGCGCGATCGGTGCTTAAATCGGTGCTGCTGCTGGTGTAGTTAGCACGCGGTACGAGCCCGTACATGTAGGACCATGCCTGAGATGGGGGCGGAAGGGGAATGGGTGAAGACGGGAGGGGAAAGGAACGGGCAGGAGAACTTTGTTGAGAAACCCTAATTGGTTTTTACAGGAATCCACTCGTAAGAAGCAAAGCACCAACGCGTGCGACAGCCTGCTTCTCGCACTCTAAAGAAAGCGACCGCCTGCGACTCGCACCTTAAAGAGCGCGACAGCCTGCGCGTGTTGCGCTCCACCAGGGGCCACCGGATCGACGGGCCGCTGTCGCCCTCTCGGCCTCCCTCCTCGGCGCGCGTCGCAACGGATTGGCGAAAGAATCAACGAAAGAAGAAGCAGCGAAAAAATCGGAAGCTTTGAAATTGCACGCGACATGCGTGATAGGCGGTAGGCGCTGCGGTGACGCGTTACAGCTGCATTGAAATGAAAGCGCGGCGATGGCGTGCTGCCAGCCATGCTCGTCTTGAGCGTTACACGCGGTGGCGCATCGATCCTCGAATTCCACGCACTGGCTAGAGTTTGATATCTAGCATCCGGTCAGAGACGATCAAAGCGGCAGCCACTGCATACTGTACGTCGACGCCCCATGCGTATCTCAGGGGATTCGTGTCCGGCTCGCGTAAACATATCTGAAATGGTGTGTCGCTTTAAGCGGACATCGGAAGGAATTAGGGCATCTATTGTGAAGGTTGGTGGAGTGCTTTTACCGTACGCGTTTCGAGCGCGCTCAGTATTGCTCTACCAGAAGCGTATGGGTGATGTTCATGTCCGCTATAAGAAACTTATATTGTACACTATTGTTCCGTGATGCTCCCAAGTTGTGCGATTGTTCCAAACGAGACCACTGATGTCCAAAGTTCAAACCAACCAAACCGAGCCGCGGTCGTGCATCTGCTCTCTTGTTTGGGAAATGATCAGATTGGGGCCCCAGAGCTCTAGAAAAGTCGCCTACTTGGGGCCTCGTGTTTTGCAAGGAGTCGAGCCTAGGCCGGACCTGTGCCCAACCAATTTCTAGCCTCATCCACGCGCTCCGTCAGACCTGACCACACAAGGTGACGAATTCCTCCTTGACGAACGAAAAAATTGACTCGACATCTAAAATTTGACGAATTTTCCTCTCGTGCGTCATGCCTTCGAAGGGGCCTTCGCCCTAAACATCTTGCCGCACGGTATTTAGGGTTGATGCTTCCCCACTCATATGCCATCCGAATGGGGTTTATTTTTTGTGCCATTGCGTTGTTGTTGTTTTTGGGTTAAAATGATTGTTTTTCTGGGTAATTTACGATGACGAGTCACTAGCGAATTCCGTCAACCCCAGGCCAGTAGGTGGTGACCTGGCGAGAAGGCCAGGCTCGGCCTAACTGACCAGGTGTGCTGGTTGGTACGTAGTAGGGGCGCGACTCACGAGGCCCCAATTCGGCCACTTTACTGCTACTCCGGGGCCCCTTTTTGATCATTTCCCCTCTTGTTTCCCGATTGTGTACACTTTCATTCTGCTACTCTGTAGCACGCTTCTCGGGGCTTCGCCCCTTCCCCTTCCCCTTCCCCTTCTTCCTTTCCCCTCCACACTGGCCCCCATAAACTCACCCCCCGCTCATCCTCTCCATTACAGGATGGATTCAAATTTCTTCCGCTTCTAGGACTCCTGAAACCCATCAGACTGCAGCACATGTAAACTGCATCCACTTCAGAACACTGGTTGATTGATACGCAACGGACAGACGACTCCACCCAGCAGGCAAGCTGCCCGAGGTGAAAACAAAATATACAGTATATGCTGGAGCTATTACACCATGGTACAGTTTCAAGCCAGCTGTTCATGAACTTTGATTATTTATCTTCTTACAACACACATCTGCACAGAACGAAAAGACCTGGACCGCGGTGAGCCCGGTAGGGCGGCCACGAAAAAAACAGTTGCGGAAACCACTCCAGCCGAAGCACGGTTATCGTAAGGCCCAATCAACATACGCCATGCTGGGAATATGGCAGGTCCTGGCCAGCGATTCGAATGCTGGCCTGCTCCACAGTCTCAGATGTGGCGCCACGTGAGATGACGAAGGCATGATCCAATCGACGGATGAAGAACGATATGCCCAGGTTCACGGACGTTCCGGATGAGCCGTCATTCCGAGAGTATAGCGAGATGAAGCGGGAAACCCTTCATATTTCCCAGCCCCTCGTTCCCTCCAAGCTCAAACCCTCTCTCTTTTTTTCCCCCAACCTCCACAGCCTGCCCCGAGTCCCCCCAGCATCCCCCAACACCTCCCCCCTCACCCCTCCTTCCTACCTCTCCGCCCCACGCGGAATTCTCTAGGTATTTCGCGCCAGTGGTTTGCGCTTTTGTGGTCATGCTGCGAAATCAGTGCCGCCAATGTTTCCCTTACTTTCCCCCATTCGCTGATACCCTCCCCCCATACCACAACAGCGGAGCAGAATGAATGAGATGAGTGTGGTGTTCTGAATGCCACCTCTACTGGTCCACAAAACTCATCCCATTCAGCCCCTTTTGAAACAAGAGCCCCATTTTAACCCTTACTCCAACTTAGAGTACTAGCCGGGTTAGCCGATTTATTTGCTCGTGCCAAACAGTGCTGTAAAGAATGGCTACTACTATAGGAAGTCGTTCCGTTATACCAAGAGTTAATATTCCTGACACAAAGTCTTCATCGAGAAGCCGTTATCCAGAAGTGCGTATCGGGGTCAGAGGTCACTTGTTATTAGCTTTAGTCCTTATGATGCATCAAAACAATTCTCTTGACTTGTGGTTTTCCTGTATTCAGTCTCCTGGCAGCTGCCTTCCTTCTAGCGGATTAAACGGGTTTTGCGGCTCCAAACTAAAGTCGCCTCCCACGCAAGCCTCAAAACAACGGTCGTCTGGTCCCTTCTGCTGTTTCGGTAGGTTCATGCTCCCTTCGCGACTGTTGCCTTGTGTAGTTCGTACTTCCGAGAAGCAGAGCTGAAGCCTCTTTTAAGCCGAATCAACAGTCACTTAAGTAGTCCTCTCGTCTCCTTTATGTCCTCGTGTATGTCCTTGGTTCTTTTTCTGTGCAGCTAATGCCTCATGGATGGAAGATGACTTCGTGCCTCAACCTTCTTTCGCACACCGATTGTCGAGAGCATGGCAAGTTGTGTTTCCCACACGAAGGAAGGGACCAAGGTACGTACCGTTGTTGCTCGTTCATTTCTAGGATGATTTTCTTTGTTGCTTCTCTCACCTTCCGTCATCTGTTATGCCATGCAGTGTCGCGGAGGTGGCGAAGGAGAGATTGCGTCTAGTGCTTTACAGCGACCGCGAGGAATTCCATCCTAGATTAAAGAAGAAGCTCTGCGGAGACATCGTGAACGCCATGGGTGATTTCTTGGACGTCGCTGTGGAGGACGAAGACGACGTGATTTTCAGAGTCACAAGGGACCCGGTGGTGGGGTCGATCTACAACGTCAGCGTGTCGGTGAAACGGGTGAAGCCAGCGCTTCAGAAAGCATCATAATCAGTACTGGAAAAGCTGGGCAATTTGGAATTAATAGTTTTCTCTTCAGTTTTTTACGGTGGATGCGTGTGTGTGTCTTGGCATGTTAGGAATACCTAGCCTCCAAGACGAACACACAGTTGCTCCACCCTGTTTCTCTTGAGCATTTACCTGAAACTGACACCTCACAAGGAGCGTGCAGGTTCTATGATGCTTCTGTGATGTGGTAAATATGCTGTATGCCTGTGAAGTTTTGTGCCACATTTTAGGGTGCGTTTCTGCCGAGACATGTCTTCAGATGTTTGTGTCACAACACAAACCATGAACGATGATCCTGCCACATGTCCGTTAGGAGTGGCTCATCTTGTACCGTAATTGTGTTCAGAACTGCATGGTACGTTAGGAGTGGGCTCAAAGATACCATAGTTTGAAATGCGGTAAATCCTTACGTTGCGTCAATGAGAGCAATCAAGATATCGGAGGAATCACATGGCATCATAATCTCTGCTCTTCTGAACGCATGAGATATCTAAGCCTGCGGAGATGAACTCGCTGGCTGCGAAGAGGCGTGTGTGGCAAGCACACGCTGCAACTCCTCTTCTGACACTCCCACGCCCTTGAACGCTGCTACAGCCGCCTTGAGAGACGATTCCCATCCCGCATCTGACAGCTTGAACTGATCAGCCATCACCATGCACCAGACACAGCAGCCAGACAGAGAGAGGCGTGGGGAGTGAAGAGGGGAGGATGGGAAAGAGGGGGAGTGGAGGAGGGGGTGGAAGCGAAGGGGAGAAGGGAAGGAGATGTGAGGATGAGGGCCAAGTCACGCCACTCTTAGTGAAAAAATTGGCACGGAGGACGAGGAATTAAGCAAGAGATTTGTATCTGCCCGACCTCACCTGGACCTGCGACTTGTCAAACACGCAGTTGGCCAGCTGGAGGTTGACGTTCTGCCGGAACGCCGCCACGTCAGCAAGGAATGCATCTGGATCTGCATGCTCATGGTCATGATTACATCCAGGCCCATGCTTGTGCGTGTGCTCATGCCCATGGTCATGATTGCATCCAGGCCCGTGCTTGTGCCCTGGGTGGCCATGCTTGGCACCAGGGTATTCCTCAGAAGGGTCCCCTTCCTCCTCTGCTTCTCCTGCTGTTGCTGCTGCTGCCTCGTGCTGCTTCAAATGATCCTGCTCGATCGTGTCACATGCCTGTCACAGGAAGATGCAGGAGAATGGTGCAGATAAGCAACAAAAGGTTATTGAAGCCTATGAAATATGCTGGTGCTGCCTCATGCTGCTTCGAATGATCATGCTCAACCATGTCACATACCTGTCAGGAAAAGGGATAGGATGGGGACAAGAAACAAAAGGTGAGAACAGAGTCAGCTCTGAATTCACTGTGTCCCATGCCTGTCAGAGAAGCGCAGTCAAACGACCTGGCATACACTCCTGCTCTAATTCGTTGACGACCCTAAATTTACGGTCACAACAACTGTTTTCTCCTTTGTTCAACTTTCTCATTCACTGCTGCTCGCTGGAATATGTCTAACGACATGCCCGGCCAGAGAAGCGCAGTCAAACAACCTGGCATACACTCCTGCTCTAATTCGTTGACGACCCTAAATTTACGGTCACAACAACTGTTTTCTCCTTTGTTAAACTTTCTCATTCACTGCTGCTCGCTGGAATATGACTAACGACATGCCCTGCCAGCGAAGCGCAGTCAAACGACCTGGCATACACTCCTGCTCGTCTTCGCGATCAGTGGCTTCTAAGTTGACTGACGACACTAAATTTACTGTCACGTGCCTACCAGAGAAAAGGGAAGAGTGCGGCCAACAAAAGGTGCACCAAAACATGGAAGCTCAATCCTGCTTCAACGAGGTAGCTCCGAATCAAATTGCAGTAAAACAAACTGCCTGAATGACTGCTTCAAACATGCCAGCATATTTGGATAGAACACACACACACACACACACACAAATAATCACAGCAAGAAAAAACAGCATAAAATGGAGTTGGAGAGCAGAATGTACCTTGGCAGCAGCGGTGAAACTCTCTTCTGCTTGAGCCAAACACTCCAGCACTCCTTTCATACGCTTCTTCCCCTCTCCCCCCTCACTCCCCTTCTCTCCCTCTCCGTTCTCCTGCTTCTCATCCTTCTCCCCCTTCTCTCCCTCGTCCCTCTCCCCGCCCTCCTCCCCTTCCAGCACTGCCAGGAACTCCTGTGCTCGTGCCATCTCAACAAAGCACTGCCCCAGCGCCAGCAGCGCCTGTCAGGAAGGGAAGTGGGGATGAGAGCACATGGGTGGACTGAGTGCCATCTCAACAAAGCACTGCCCCAGCGCCAGCAGCGCCTGTCAGGAAGGGAAGTGGGGATGAGAGCACATGGGTGGACTGAGTGCCATCTCAACAAAGCACTGCCCCAGCGCCAGCAGCGCCTGTCAGGAAGGGAAGTGGGGATGAGAGCACATGGGTGGACTGAGTGCCATCTCAACAAAGCACTGCCCCAGCGCCAGCAGCGCCTGTCAGGAAGGGAAGTGGGGATGAGAGCACATGGGTGGACTGAGTGCCATCTCAACAAGGCACTGCCCCAGCGCCAGCAGCGCCTGTCAGGAAGGGAAGTGGGGATGAGAGCACATGGGTGGACTGAGTGCCATCTCAACAAAGCACTGCCCCTGCGCGCCTGTCAGAATAGGAGGGGTGGTATGAGAATGAGTGCAAGAGTGCAGGAGTGAGGGCACAACAGAGAGTGTGCCACCTCTAAGTGTCAGAATATGTTGTATTTGTCTAGCCTGCAGTGGGGTACTCAATAGTGAGTACAGCCCAATCTAGGGTTTCCTATATGTACTCAACTGCTTGCTAGTGAAAACCCCTCTTTCTCATTTTTAACTTTCAACTGCTGTTTCCCAACACTAAGAAGAACCAATGGAACTGGCCACGTCAGTCACAGCAACCAGGCAACCAAGTCAAGCGAGTCAACCAAGTCAAGCGAGTCAACCAGATCAAGCAAGTCAATCCAATCGACCAGGTCAACCGGGTCAACCACTCACATCTGGCAGATTCGGCTGCACCGTCAGAGCAGCCTCGTACTTCTCCCGAGCCTGCTCCAGCACCTCCCGAGCCGCCTCCACCTCCCCCAGCTTGGCTGCTCGCCTCTCTGGATCCCCTCTGATCTCTCTCAACGCCTCCTTCTCCTTCTCCGCCTTCCCCTTGTCCGCCTCCATGCCTCCCTTCTCTGCATCCGCTCCCCCCGTCTCTGCTTCGTCACCCCCCTTGCCTGATTCTATGCCACTTTTCCCCGCTTCTGCACCATCCTTGTCTGTGTTGGTGGCAGCAGCAGTAGCAGTAGCAGTAGCAGCAGCGGCAGCAGCGGTGGTGGTTTGGGCAGTATCAGGAGCAGGTTTGAGTCCGAGCCTGCGCCGAGCCATCCAGACGTAGGTGTTGCCCCAATTCAGATGCGCCACTGCAGCCTGCTCGAAAAGGAAGAGAGGGGAGGGGAGCAGAAGGGCAGAGAAAGAAGGGAGTGAGGTGTTGCCCCAATTCAGATGCGCCACTGCAGCCTGATTGAGGGGGAGGTGGAGGAGGGGGGAGGAGAGGGGCACAGGAAAATGGGATAGAGGTGTTGCCCCAGTTCAAGTGTGCCACTGCTGCCTGCTTATGGGGGAAAAGGGGGGAAAGAAAGGCAGAGAGAGATGGGGGAAATGGAGTGTGATTCCATTACACACGCTGCTAGACACATTCTCACACTCACTCTGTCACACATACACTCCCACACACAACACAATCTCACACACTCACACACTCTCACACTCTCACACTCTCACACTCCCTCACGCACTCACTCACACGCACTCACCATGCTCTGGAACTTGGCAGCCGCCTGCTGCAGCAACTCAGAAGCTTCCTCCGCCTCCACCGTCCCTTCCAATGCCCTATTAACCGCCGCCACGTCAGCATCCGCCAGGTCAAAGCTGGCGAGCGAATCAATGCCCAGCCGCTCCCTGAAAAGGTCGGCAAACTGAATTATCCACGAATCAACTAGCACCTCCTGTTGTGCCTCCCCCTCCTCCTCCCCTTCTTCCCCCTCCTCCCCTTCTTCCCACTCCCCTTCCTCCTCTCCCTCCTCTTCTGCTTCCCCAACATTTTCCTCCTCTCCATCCTCTCCCTTCTCCTTCCCCTTACTCGCAGGCACCTCTATTTCCTCCTCTACCTCCTCCTCCTCTTCCACCTCCACCTCCTCCTCTCCTTCCTCCTCCACCTCCTCCCACTCCACCTCTGCCACGTCAGCATCATCGGCAGGAACAGCTGGCGCCTGCGCCTGCTCTGATTGGCTGAGAGGCGTCACATGCAGCCGCAGCACTGTCTTAACATTTATGCTGCTGACGCTGCTGTTGGTGGTGGTGTTGTTGCTGCTAGTGATGGCTTCGGCGGGTGCTATGGTGGCGGCGGTAGCAGTTGTTGTAGTGCTGCTGCCATCACAGGGCAAATCACTAGCCTCTTTGACAGCTGATTCTGCTTCCATCTCTGGCTCCAATTCCCCCTCATCATTCCCCTGCTTCGACTGATCCTTCTCTTTGGTTTGCGGTTCCGCTTTCGACTCTACAGCAGCACTGGCAACAACGGGAGGAGCTACCGCTGATTCCTTTTTCCCCAGAGAAGCAGCTTCGAGAGATCTAACGCCCAGAGAAGCAGCAAGAGCAGCCTGTGCGTCTGCTGCCGCTGCTGCTGCAGCAGCTGCAGCCGTGGCTGCTTCTCTTGCTGCTGCTGCCGCTGCCACCGCTGCCACTGCCACTGGTGACGATACCCCTCCAGCTGCTGCTTCTGCTGCCGTTCGTCCGATACTGAGTGCCGTGGTGATGTCTTCCTTGCATGTGATTGTAATGAGGTCGCCCTGGGAGATTGGGTTGCGAGGATGGCGATGGCGACGAGTGTGACAATATGGGAGAGGGCAAGCAAGAATTCGTACAATACTTTTGCTCATGCGTGGTTATATTGCTCTCACCTCAGGTATTGTTGGCTATTCTCACCTCAGGTATTGTTGGCTATTCTCACCTCAGGTATTGTTGGTTATTCTCACCTCAGGTATTGTTGGTTGCTCTCACCTCAGGTATTGTTGGTTGCTCTCACCTCAGGTATTGTTGGTTATTCTCACCTCAGGTACGCGCCCTCACACCTCAGCATCAGGCTCACCCCAGCAACACCCTCACATCAGCATCGCCCTCACCTCACTGTCAGGGTTGTGCAGGAGCATGGGCGTGCCTTTCGAGCGGCTTCTGAGGCAATTCAATAGGCGCCTCAGAAATATTGAGGCGCCTCAGCATGACCCTCACCTCAGTGTCACGGTAGTGAAGCAGCATCGGCTTGCCGTTCAGATGGGGGAAGCAGGCACCCACGATTCTGTGCAGCTGCTGGAAACTGCAGCAAGGAGAGGATGCAAGGGTGGAGGGAAGAGGGGGCACGCAGACGCACACATGGGAGGGGAGAAACTCGTGAGAATGCATACGGGTTCTACTGCCCAACATAGGGGGAAGCAGGCGCCCACGATTCTGTGCAGCTGCTGGAAAATGTAGCAAGGAGGGGATGCAAGGGACTAGCTGGGAGCGACTGGTGAGAATGCACACAGACCCTGTTGAAACAACGAACCAGATGCAGCAAAAGAAAACAGAAAAAAAAAAAAAAAAAAAAAAAAACAGAAAAAAAAAGGTGTTGCTGAGAGAGAAGGCAGTAGAAAGGCGAAAAGCAACGGAAGATGTAACGCATTGCACGAACTGGAAAAGCTCAAACTTGTGCGAACACTTTCCAGCAGCCTAAGCGGTCTCCATGTGGCCAACAGCCACCAATCCCCACGCCACGTCCTTCACTCTGAACCGATTGTGGGTATAGGGGGACTTTTGAGTCGACTCAAAAGTTGACTTTTGATTTTTGAGTCGACTCAAAAGTTGACTTTTGATTTTTGAGTTGACTCAAGAATCAACACGCCACATCCTTCACTCTGAACCAATTTTGGGTATAGGGGGAACAGCTTGGGAGGGAACTGCCCATGCAAGCAACCTTACTCATTGTCACTTAATGTGCACACAGTGCTCTCCGGGAACAAGCGCATCCCATGGTGACTTTCATAATGCACCCACTCATAGAACTCATCACCACTCATATCATACTTTCTCTGCAATAGCAGCCACGTTCTAATGACTGCCCTCGCCTGCATCCCACAAGCATCGGTGCCAGCCCCGTGTCTCTGCCCATCCGCGTTCTCACTTTCACCCTGCAACAATTCCCTCCTAAGCACCCCACTCCATCGCACAAACTCACCCACATCCCACAGGCATGTGACCCAGCCTCGTGTCTCTGCCCGTGGCCAGAGTCACTTTGACTCGCACCATCGGCACTCGCCTCTCCTCTCTCCGCCTCCTCACCACCTTCTGCATCCTCTTCCTCACCACCTTCCTTCTCACTACCCTCTTCTCCTTCACCATCTCAACTCGCCCCTCTCCTCCTCCTCCTCTTCCCCCTCTTCCTCCTCTTCCTCCCCTCGTTGCCCCTACCCCCCCCTTTCGCCCAGCCTTCGCCTGTCCGTCTCCATCCTTTATGTTCGCCCCTGTCCCTGACACTGTCCTCCCCTCTGTTTCCGTTGCTGCCTGCTGCTTTCTAGGCGGCAGCTGTGGCATGTGGCTCATCCCGCTTTCCGAACTTGCATCCAAACCAGAGCCCGAACCAGAATCCGGAGCAGAAGGCGCAGCAGCAGTCAAACCAGAACCTGGAGCAGCAGCCATATCAGCACCTAGTCCCTTGGTCGCGGTTGGAGGAGCAGAGGAGGAAGGTGGGACTTTCTTCTCAGGGGAAGGCTTTGCTGTTTCTGCTTGGCTGGCAGTGGCGGGGACGGGAGCAGAGGCGGGTGGGGATGGTGTGGCAGAGGAGGTGGGAGCGGTGGGGATGGGTTGTGGGGTGGTGGAGAGCGATGGAGGTGTGGAAGCAGCAGCAGCGGCAGAGGGAGGGACGGAGGAGGGCTGCTTGCTGGCAGGAGGGGCTTTCAGCTTCTGCAGCCGTTTTTTTAGCTCCCATGCGTCCTGATTGGTGGGTTCCGTCTGTTGGGCAGGGGATGGGGATGGGGATGGTAACAGGCGCACAGCAGACAGCACATGGGGTTGGAAATAGGGTGGACAGATTGGTAAGGGCAACGCCGCTCACTGAATCAAACGTGCAGATTCTGTGCGAGATAACTAAACGAACTGCAGTTGACATTTCACACATCTCAGCGGCAAGAAACACATCTAAACAAACGTTCGTTAGCAAGTGTGTAATTTTCACGGTGTTCACTGTGTTTGTACACCATCTGCAAACAGCCTCCACGTCACCACGCGTGTATCTCGCGTCCACGTCAGCTTCTGCCTTATCAATGCGTCCACGTCAGCCCCGGCCTTATCCTTTCTGCCAGCGCGTCCAGCACCTTTGCCTTAACCCCCCCCTCCCTTCCTCGTCGCGTCAACATCAGCTTCCCCCTTATCCTCACCTTATGATCGCGTCCGCATCAGCCTCCGCCTTATCCTTCTCCCCAGCACATCGAGCGCCTTAACCTTAGCACTCGCTCCCCTGACTTAACAACCATTTCTCACCTTGATAATCGTGTCCACGTCAGCTTCGGCCTTATCCTTCTCCCCCAGCGCGTCCAGCGCCCTGGCCAATTGCTCCTCCACCTTAACCATCGTTCCTTACCTTTAAAATCGTGTCCACGTCAGCTTCAGCCTTCTCCTTCTCCCCCAGCGCGTCGAGCGCCTTGGCGCGGCGCAGCAGCGCACGGCAGAAGCCCGGGTTGAGAGAAAGACTGACGTCACACTCCGCCCTCACCCCCTCGTAGTCCACTGGGCGCATCTGCAGCAGACAGGCCGCACGGTTGCTGGGGATGGGAGGAGCAGAGAGAAGGGGGTAGGAGGGGGAGAGGGCAAGCATGAGCGGGTGAAGGGGCAGAAGCCCGGGTTGAGGGCGAGGCTGGCGTCACACTCCGCCCTCACCCCCTCGTAAGCAGACAGGCTGCGCAGTTGCTGAGGTGGGAAGGGGCAAAGGGTGGGCCAGCAGGAGGGGTGAAGTGGCAGAAGCCTGGGTTGAGGGCGAGGCTGGGGTCACACTCCGCCCTCACCCCCTCGTAGTCCAGTGGCCGCATCTGCAGCAGACAGGCCGCTCGGTTGCTGGGGAGAGAAGGGGGAGATGGGGGGAAGGGGGGAAGGGGGAGAGGGCCAGGAGAGGTTGAAGGAGCAAAAGCCCGGGTTGAGAGCGAGGTTGGCATCACACTCCGCCCCATCTGCAGCAGACAGGCCGCTCGGTTGCTGGGGAGGGAAGAGGCAGGGGTGAAGAAGCAGGGAAGAAGTAGGGTTGAAGTGGGAGAGAAACAGGGTTGAACGAGAGGCTGACGTTACACTCCGCCCTCACCTCACCTCACCCACAAGATGTCCAGGGACAGTCGGCCCGGTTGCTGTGAAAGGAAGGGGCGAAACAGGGGTCAGTCAAGGGGAGAAGCAAAAGTGAACGAGACAGTGCAAGTTCCAATTCGCGAGCTGGCACCACCACACGCTTGTGCACAGTAAAATAGAGTATTCCTTCAACTGTTGTGCCCTCGTTTTAAACACAGCTGTGCACAACAACGGCGTAACGCGTTACGCGTATACAATGCATTCACACGTGCGCTGTATTTCATCTTCAGAACTCACCTGTGCAATATTGCTCTGTCCGCATGGCTGGCAGACAGCAGCTTGATGGCCTTTCCGTATCTCTCCATGGCTACTGCATACTCGCGCGCCTGGAAATGCTGGTTGCCCTCCGCCTTGAGCTCCATGGCGCGTGCGTGAAACACCTGTGCCAGGGGGGAGAAGGTACAGGGTTGCAGTGGCAGTTGAGACAGGCCCGGCTGGAACCAGGATTGATCCTGTGTCACAGCTCGCTGTGTCGCTCGCGCCTGCAGTTCCTGTGCTGGTTGCCCTCCGCCTTGAGCTCCATGGCGCATGCATGGAACACCTGCCAGGGAGAGAAGGCACAGGGTTTCAGTGGCGATTCAGACACACGCTTGGCGGCCTGCGCTACAGCTCCTTGATGCGCGCCCAGCCGGTTTTGAGGCAGGAGCGTAGCGTAGCTAAAAATGTAATCCATCACATGTTCCCTCAGCTGTTGACGCTCTCTTGCGGAAAACCTGCAGTTGCGAACGTTGGTGTGGTTGCAAGCGAAGGATGAGGCGTGTCAACGACAACTGAGGGAAGGCTTTTGGGACACCGAGTAGCTGATGTAAATAAACAGTCCCAGCCCAGCCACCCTTCACATCCAGGGCGCGCGCCCATTCCCCCCTTTCCCCTCCTCCCACCACTCGCCCCCGCTTTCTCCAGAGGGCACGCAAGGAGCACATGCAGGTTTAAGAGTTTTGATGGCTGCGACGAGGTTCAGGGTTGAGGGCTTTGAGACACTGCTGGAACGGTCATCGGGAACTGAGTTCTGAAAACGTCTCAAAGCTAAAAGAGACATCAAGAGGGATGGCAGATGCTGTGAGACTTCCGTAACGAGAGGGAGCGATGGATATTTAGAGACCTGTCTATTGTTAAGGTGTTGTGGGTGACTCACATCCTCGTCTGCGTCAACAGCCTTAGAAGACGCCTTGGAAGCAGATCCAACGGCTGAAGAAGATCCCATTTTCGCGGAAGGTGCTGCTTTTGCTGACGGCACTGCATTTGACGCCGCATTCGACGCCGCATTTGCCGCCTTTTTGGCGGAAATGCCATCGCCACAAGCAGCAGCGGCCCCGCCATCAACGGACGACCCTCCGACGGTCCCTGACGAAGCAACCGGAGCGGTTTTTTTAGCAGAAGTTGCGGCGGATTTTGCGGCAGCCGAGGGAGGGGTGGCTGACGGAATGGCTGCTGTTGACGGGTCATTGCGGGTGTCAGATGCTGCTGCCGCAGCCCCTGACGCTGACGCTGCTGATGCGGATGCTTCGGTTGCTGCTGCCGTTGCCGGCGAGGCCGCTGCTGATGCTGCAGTTGAGGGTGCTTTTCCTCCGCCACCTCCCTGCGGCCCTCCTTTGCTCTTCTTCTTCCTCGCTCCCTTACCGCCTGCCATAGTTTCCTGCTAGAGACAGCACAGCTCCCGCTCAGTAATGACAGAGCAAATCGAGACGCTTATGTAGAACAAACTTGGCCAGGCCCTCAGTGGTAACTAATGGCGGCGGCAATTCGATCAGAACAGCCGTCTGGTTTGAGAAGGGATCAGCATAATGCAGGGGGGGTTGGACTGCTTCTGGCTGGTGTGGCTTGAAAGGGAGATGTTCAGCTAATGTTACCATTGGGCTTGGCGCGAAATGGATAATGGTTAAAGCGACGGTGCACATTTGCCACCCAAAACCCAGAACCCTGGCGAACTGTTACTGCGGATGGAAAGTGTCCGCACGAAATCCGGGGTTTCGCCAGCCAGCACTTTCGCGCTGGCAAGCCTGGTTAAAAAAAAAAAACTTCTGAACCCAACACTGCCAAAAGTTGCCCGTCGCTTTAACGTCACCTTGGTTTCCTTGGGAATGTCGCTGAAAAGCCTGGCGAAAGTCAATGTAACGCGTGGCGAACAACGTGAGAGTTGAGTGGTACACCGGAGAGAAACGAGTTACAGTAATCATAAAGAAGCATTATATCAAAAGTTCCATAATGCTGTATACAATGGATTTAAAGCTACTCATTGTCGAGCGGTTTCTGATTTCATCGCCATGATTTCTCTCTTCCTTTGCTCCAACCCTTCAATCATACTTCTAAGGTTAGCCAGGGCAGGGTGAAGAGGCGGACCTCCTCTCGGATCCACATGGACAAACTTGCGCTGGAAACCGGCAGGGGTGAATCGGGTCTCAAACCTCACTCGAACATCCTTGAGAGCAAAGAGAGTGTGGTCTCTCCCCATGCCTACAAAGTCCCCAGGGTAAAAGCGGGTTCCTCGCTGCCTCACAATGATGTTGCCAGCCACCACTCCCTGTCGACAACGTGTCAAGGAGACAGAAGGGCAAAGGCTCATGTGCAGGAAAAAGGGGCACGGGAGAACAAAGAAGGCAAACAATAAAAGGGTAAAAATAGATTGCCTACAGACAAAACGATGCACTGACTGGTGGAGATAGCAGCTCGCGAAGGCAAACACACATGCCCTCAACCGTCTGCCAGACCTCTTCATCTCCAGGTGCTTGGACCGCGTGAAAGTGGATTCGCTCTGAGACATCTGAAAATCCAATTATATGTTCACGAGGCAAACACACATCCCCTCCTCACCTGTCCGCCAGACTTCTTCACCCCCAGGTGCTTGGGCTGCGAGTCCCGGCCGTTCTGTGTGGACCCCATGGCCTTCTTCGTCGCACTGCGCTGCTGTACCAGCGACCACGCCCCTGCTGCTGAGAGTCCGTGCTGGGAAAAGACCTCCCCCACAGGCCCTGACGAGCCTGCGTATGGAAATGTTCCAACAGGCTGAAAGGCTCGGGTGATGCTGCTGAAGCTGATCCCTGCTACCTGCTGTGCTAGTCGGCGAGACATGATGGTGGATGTTGATGCGACCACTCCCTCTCAAGATCCTTCAACTGCTTCCTTTCAGAGGTTGCTTAGTGCCTCACAACCCTTGCTAAGAACTGCTCATTGGCAGAGAGAGGGACACGAACAGAGGACAGAGTAATGAGCGTGGTTGTTGCAGAGCGGTGAGGGTTAGCGCGGAAGAGGCACACGCCTTAGCGTGGAAGAGGCAACTGCTTTACGAGATCGCATACGCCATAAGCTTCTAAGGCAAATACTGAGAGATTGCGACAACTGGGTAAGGAGGGTGCTAGCGGCTGACGAAGACAGGCTGTTAGCGCATCGACGAGACCTATTCGCGATTCACCCAACCTTTCTCATCGGCCTTAGGGTTCGTCGCCGTGCGATCCTAATCCGCACCTACCACACGACTCCAACCATACGACAATTCTCATCTCTCACCTCACTGGACGGTCGTGATGCGTCTGGTGCCCGCCAGACCCTGACTGGCGGTACCTACACTTGGCCAAATGCGTCAGCGCCTGCCCTGGTATGTCTGTCAAGCACATGACACGACACTCGTCAGTCAGAATGACCTGTAGTGAAAACTGCGATCCTCGTTTCTGTGTGCACGAACCCTTCTTGACTCTGGAGTGACCCCCACATCTTGAATGGTAGATTCTGCGATACAATGCGGTAGTAAAAGTGCACGCGTGGGTTAAATGCTATAACTTAGTTATTCCCTTTTGAGCGTGCTGGAGCACTGAGCTGTAACAGGATCCACTAATAGTTTAAAGTAGAGACATTTCATGATAGGATTACATGAAACGCCTAAGACCAAATAAGAACAGAAAAACGGAAAAACCAACCAAGCACCATGGCAAACGCCTTCTTTAATTAATAATTCTAAACTAAATCTTGCCCTTCATAACCGAATCCCTTTCCTCAGAACTCCACCAACTGTTAGTGAGGAATCATGTACACAGAAGTGCCAGTCACCGACCACATAACTCTCCCTCACACAAAGAAACCCTCCATGGGCTTTCCATCGAAGCAATCGATCAGGGTCGCAAAGAACTCTCCATCAGCAACATCCATGTCGCGGCCCATCACCTGATACCCGCCTGCAGGGGTAATGGGGTTTTCCTTGCCATCACCCGCAGGAAGCGCAGCTGCAGCTCCCTCAGCAGGTGTGATCGCCGTGGAGTCAGAGAGCTGGCAATCTGACTCATCCTCACCGTCCGTACCCACATCGCCCTGCTCACTCAGAAAGAGCGATTCAGCCTTCACAACACCGTTAACGGCTGGAAGGAGGACCGGATCCGAAGAATCATATGGAGAATCACTGACATCTGTCCCGTTCTCCTCCGTTCTCTTCCGCTTTCCCAGTCCCTTCGCGTCTTCGTCAGTCAGCCCGTCCGTAACAGCCGTGAGCGGGGACGACAGAGCAGACTCTTTCCCCGGAGACGACGGCTTGCTGCCTTGCGACAGAGTCGACCCTGCCGCTCCCGCGTTTCTTCCGCCACTGCAATCGTTCAGCTCTTTCCGCAGCCGCTTAAGCTCGCGCTCCAGATTCAGGTTCTGCTCCTGGAAGCGACGAATCTTGTCGGTTGCCTCGGTCAGCCGCCGCTGCACTGCAGCATTTTCCATCTTGAGCTTCGCAGACTGGATTTCGAGCTCCTCCAGCCGCACCTGACGGCGCTGGCGCGATCTCTTCGCGGAAGCACGATTCGACATCATTCTGCACAAAAAAGAGCAAGCAAGGTCAATCGCGTGTCGGAAGCGTAAGTAAACACGGCTACAAGCGGATGGCTATCATGGACTGAGATATTGAGATAGCGAAATGCGTGGCAAGGTAATCTTACCGCTTGTACTTCTTCTCATCCATTTCCTCCTCATCCTCCTCCGTGTGATGCGGATCCATCTCGGGATTGACTCCCCACGCGAATCCAGGCGCCGACGCGCTCTGAACTGGACGCGGCGCGATGTTGGCTGCTCCCGTAGACTTCGCCCAGGCCTCCAGGCTCCCTGCAGGAACAGGCTGTTGCTGCCAGGAGGGAACCATAGAGCCTTGAAACTGCTTTTGCAGCTCTTCTTGAGAGCCGACTTGAAGAACTTTTGTGGGATTCCATGCCGTAGACTGAGCTTGTGCGAGCTGTTGCTGTTGCTGCTGCTGCTGCTGCTGAAGGAGCTGCAGTTGCTGTTTCTGCTGAAGCATCTGCAGCTGCTGCTGAAGCTGCTGCTGCTGCTGAGCGGCTGCTTGGTGGAGTTGCGAGTTCGTCATTGTGGGAAAGAACCGACCGTGCTGCTGAAGCCTGCGAAGAGAGCAGGTGAGGATAGTAAGTACCGGGAATTCTAGGCGAACCGGGATACACACACACACACATTGGAAAACGAAAAGAAGGAACCTAACTTCCGAAGGAAAGCAAACTCACTGTGCGGCAGTGAAAGTGGCTTTGGGCTCCTCGTTAGCCGCCTGAAAGCGTCCGTTCGGGAGGCCTGTTGCTCCAACCATCCCGGTCCACGCCCAAGTCTGAGCGTTTGAATTGTTGGCTGCTCCAGCAGCCTTCATAGCATGTCCTGGTATCTCAGCGACGAAGTTTGCTCCTGAAGTTCCAGCTCCCGCAGGAACTCCGGATTCCGGTGGACGACACATTTGCTATCTTCGTAACTCTTACGACGTAAGAAAGCTATACTTGGAAAGCAGTCGCTTACAGGAATGACGGTGCCAGGGAAAGCTCAGTAGTCTAAATAGACACAATGCTGAGTCAGATAGTTTCAGGACTTGTATTAGAACTGAGCTGGAACAGGTGTGTGAGGTGACCAAATAATACCTGGCTGTTTGCGGAAGGCAGGGGGAGACGTTAGGGGGGAAGGGGAGGGAAGGGAAGGGTGCGTAAGTGCCAGTGTACAGCACTATATTGTACGGTGAACAAGGACGGGGGAGCGTTGGGGGGAGCTGCGGGCATGGAAGCGGAGCAGCGGTCATTAGGCATTGGGGAAGCGACGTTGGTTGACCGAACCGAGTGCGGGGACGGGAGACGTTGCGGGGAGTGATGGTTGAAATGGAAGGAAAAGTTGTTGCTGATCTGTTCCAGCTTGCGGGTTTCGGGTGGCGTTGTGGTGATTGGGCACGACTACTTGGCAGGGCAATGCTGCTTGTGAACAAGGCGGTGCACAACTGTGCAGTTCTGTACGAGCAGGAATTCAAGCTCAGCTGCCCGTGGGTGGATGATTACGAAACCAGAACATCCTCTAGAAAACATCGACCAATCATCGGGCTGCTGATGTGTTCCTCAGAGAGTGGCCCAACAGCCATATCAAAATGGACCGAATTGGGTGACACACGCGCTTGGACCACGATGACAGACATTCCCATCGCAACATATCTGACACCAGCGGCAAGATTGCAAACTTGGGCAGATCTTTCTGGACTTGGCTGGATGGAAGATGCCCGAGTGTGGATTCACACGCCCACCTGCTCTAGAGTCTGTTTGTTTGTGCCCGAGCGCCAAGCCTCGTAAAGCTGTAAAACAACACAGTAAATGGGTTATAAGAGTTATTATGATAAAGGAGTAATTCCCAACGCTCACTCCTTCCAACCTCCCCCTTCAGAAAAAAAACAACATTTCTGTACTCGTATCAGTTTTTGGCATGAAGGGTACGGAGTACCAGTTTATGCATATTTTACGTGTATATTTTACCATTTTCCCTTTTACTTCAGTGCAGACCACCAGTCCTGCCCTTCAGCCTGCATCACCTTCCCCCCCCATTTCTGCACTGTGTATCCATTCACTTCGCGTGCGCTGACAAGGAGCAAGTGCCTCAAAGGTGCCCTGCTCCCATCTCCTCCTCATTTCTCAAGACAGCTGACAAGGAACAAGTTGAAGGAGTTTGTCCAGCAAATCCGGGATATTTGATCGTACGCGTGGAGATCAACAGTCAAATACAGGAGGAAGAAAGGAGGAAGCTGCTCAAGCACTGTGCCTCAATGAGAAAAGGCAAACTCCACCTCATCAAGCGTGTGGAAGGACAAAAAGTATCTTGTAAAGACACGAGCCGTGACGCATTCAGCACCGCTTTTGATTGGAATCTGTACCTTTTCTTCAGATATTATATCCGAGCTGGAACTAAGACGACAACTCATGCCAGTCGACTGATATTCAAAGACAAATAAGACTTACCCAAAATCCGATAATATAGTATGGCAAAAACACCTGAGTGGCTCTCCCCGCTCCCTTTAGAATAAATAGCATTATATTATATTCCACTGCAAAATCATTTGTCATAAAAAATATTGAACAAAGATCATGTCAGAATAATGCCTAAGCTATGTATGCATCAATACGCTTTGTAAGGCAAATTAACTGCAGAAAACTGTGTACCAAAGAGAGCGTACTATAACTCAGTGTAGGACCACAGAGCTCACAAACACAATATTCAGATCACATCCCAGAACCAGAGAGTTCACTTAGGGTACATTCATGTATCGACACATGTGTCTCGATGCCGGTTTTCCCGAGTCGCGTCCACACATTTGCACAACCTCCCGTCTCCATAAGTTAATGCATCGCGACACTGGGCGACCAGACGACTTGTACAGTTGTGCACGTCTCATTGGGTGAGCCAAATGGCAATAGACCAGGCTTTTTGGCGCCGAGCAGGGACACGTTTCAAGTGTGAATCTGACGGAACCCACGAATCGGGTCATTGTAACGCAACCTATAAACTATGCGTTCATATCATATACACACACAACACATAATTGTCAAACATATGTTTATATGTTATAGTTTAGGTAGGCTTTAGTGGGGTACTCACTGTGGGGTACAACCCTTTAGGTTTTATTTTGTACCAACCCTCTCGATAGTCAACACCACTTTTCCCTTTTACTCTCGACATGGTATCAGAGCAACATAAGTCCCTAGGACCGTTTTAGGACTGTTTTTCAGGGCCCACCAACCGTTTTCCGCCGGTTACCGAGTTACCCCGCCCCTTGCCTACACTGTTTATCGTCGCGCAGCCCTCGCGCTCGCCTCTGCTGGCCCTCGTACAGCCCGCTAGCAGCCCGCCTGCTGCCTCGTCAGCCCCGCGCAGCCCGCTAGCTGCCCTGTCAAGCCCGCGCACCGCCCCGCAGCCCCCGCTCTGCCTTCTCCTGCCCCGCGCGTCGCTTCGCAGCCCTCGCGCTGCTTGCTACGGCCGCCGACGCGGCCTCGCCCTGCTGCGGTCGTAGCCCCACCCTGCCGCCGACGCGGCCCCGCCTGGCCTGCGCGCTGCCCCCCGTCGCCAGTCACGGCGCCTGTGGGACCCGAGCGCTGCACCAGCTACGCTGCCCCTGGCCCCTGCAGCAGCCGCCCCTAGAGTAGCCGCCCCTGGTGCAGCCGCCCCTGGACCCTCGAGCAGCCGCCCCTGGACCCTCGAGCAGCCGCCCCTGGACTCCGTGCAGCCGCCCCTGGCCCCTGCAGCATCCGCCCCTGGAGCAGCCGCCCCTGGACCCCGAGCAGCCGCCCCTGGCCCCTGAAGCAGCCGCCCCTGGTGCAGCCGCCCCTGGACCCAGAGCAGCCGCCCCTGGCCCCTGAAGCAGCCGCCCCTGGTGCAGCCGCCCCTGGACCCAGAGCAGCCGCCCCTGGCCCCTGAAGCAGCCGCCCCTGGTGCAGCCGCCCCTGGTGCAGCCGCCCCTGGACTCCGTGCAGCCGCCCCTGGCCCCTGCAGCAGCCGCCCCTGGAGCAGCCGCCCCTGGACCCCGAGCAGCCGCCCCTGGCCCCTGGTGCAGCCGCCCCTGGTGCAGCCGCCCCTGGACCCAGAGCAGCCGCCCCTGGCCCCTGAAGCAGCCGCCCCTGGTGCAGCCGCCCCTGGACCCAGAGCAGCCGCCCCTGGCCCCTGAAGCAGCCGCCCCTGGTGCAGCCGCCCCTGGACCCTCGAGCAGCCGCCCCTGGACCCAGAGCAGCCGCCCCTGGTGCAGCCGCCCCTGGACTCCGTGCAGCCGCCCCTGGACTCCGTGCAGCCGCCCCTGGACCCACGACGCCACCCCTGGACCCCGTGCAGCCGCCCGTCGAGCGCCGGCCCTGCTCGCCCGGCGAGCTCCTGCTCTTCCCGCCACTGGTGAGCACCTGCCTTGTTAGCGCGCTACCGCACCATCTGCCTGCCTGCCTGCCTGCCAGCCTGCCTGCCTGCCTGCCAGCCTGCCTGCCTGCCAGACTGCCTGCCTGCCTGCCTGCCTGCCTGCCTGTCTGCCTGCCTGTCTGCCTGCCTGCCTGCCTGCCTGCCGCGCCTGCTCTGCTAGGCTACTGCTACTGGTACTGGCGGTGGCCAGATGCAGCTCCAGCGACGTCCGCACGAGTCTCTCACGCCCCAGCAGCTTTGTGAGTGGTACACTAGTTGGGGTTGTGGCGGTAGTCGTCGTAGCTGTCGCCCTGGAGCTGGTCAGTTGGGAGCGTCTGGCAGTGGCCAGCTGCAGCTGCAGCGGCGTCCACGCGAGACACTTACGTCCCAGCAGCTTCACGAGTGGTACGCTCAGAGTAGAGGGTCTTTGAGTACAGTTCGCTGCCCGTACGTCATTCGCACAGGTGATCGGACGGGTCAGACTTGCGGGACGCTTAGTCACACCCAGTCCCGCTGCTTCGCCCGTCTGAGTGACGCCTGGCGTACCGAATTTGGTGACGAGGCTTAGCTCCCCAACTGGGTGGAGCTCCTTGGGCAGAGGGTAGATATCTTTGCTCTTGACTATGATGCTATTCTCA